GTACAACTAGTTAAAGTGGTAAAATAGTGGAAAAAAATCCGAAAAAAACCCCAATGAACATTCATATTTTGAACGATAAAAGAGAAACCAAAAGTAAGTGATGTGACAAAATGAGGATTGCGTATTTTTTTAATATGGAAGGTGATTGATTTTCATCATCTCATTTGGTGAGTATATGCAAAATTGGAAGTATGGTGTCAATATATGAAAGAATAATGGGTACTTTTATGCCAAATCATGAGGTTGGCTCAATTTGGTCAACCCTCTTTTTGCGAAAAAAAAATGTTTATATACGTAATTTACAGAATATTTTTGTATTAAGTAATAGAGTTGATTCATTTTAACTTTCCTCTATTTTTGCAAAAAATTTATTCATATTAAAAATTGTTTATATCAGTTGACTTTAAAATAATTAGCAAAGGTAATGATATGAATTTACTATATATTTTATATTATAAAGTTGAATTAAAAACTTTAAAATAATATAACGAACAATTTATTGATTGTTTTAATTTGTTATAACTGAAATTGAATCTACAATTATATTTATTATAACTAGACTTGATTATATAATTATAAGTAAAATAAAATAAACCTATGTATAAAGAAACAACATGTTAAGGTATTGCCACAAATCCATGAGAATGTGATATATTCAAATATGGATGTAAGTATCTGAAAGAAAGAAAAAATGTATTTGATGTCAATCAGCCTTTAATGTCAATATCAATATAATATATTAAAGGAGGAACAAAACAAATAATACAAAATATATAACCAAGATTGAAATCAAAACCAACCAAATAATACAAAATAAGTGAATATTTAAAAGGAGTTAAATATCTTTCAAAACTAAGAGAGTTTGTGCAACTATTTTTGTACTACCATCTTTTATAAAAAAAAAAATACCAAAAACTAATATAAAAAATAACATAAAGTTGACAATAAATCAACACTATAAAATTGGTATAAGTTATAGTTGTAAAAACAATATTTATATATCTATAATCTATATTTTTATATCTTTATCCATGTAAAAGCAATAAACATGGATAATCTGGTGACAATTTCTAAGCATTATAAATCATTTTTCTCACATTATTGTTTGCATCCCACATTAGATCAAATAATGAAAGAAACATGTGGGAGGTGGATACAAAATGAAAAAAGTAAAATTTTTTGTCAATATTGTTTGCATCCTGCATTGGATGATGGAATGAAAGTGGCAAGAGATGGATTGCTACAAAAAGAAATGACTAACAATGGAACAAACATATTTTTCTAGAATCTCAATCTTTTGCTTAAGATCAAATATGATACCTGTTTTTAGTTTATATATCTGTCATGAATCTTAGGTTTTTTATTTAGATCAAGTATAATTTATATTCTCAGTTTGATATCTAATACATGATTCTTCAGCTTACTTGGTATTTTATTTTTATATGGGAATGCCCATTATATTACTTGGTGATGTAGTTATTTATCTGTCGTCTTGTGTTACTACTATCAAGGCTTGATGTACCTCTCTAATTTACAATTAAAATAGTATAGAATGTTACGGTAAAGTGTAATATTTGTTTTTGTCAGTTTAATATCTGATATGTTGGTCATCGACCCCACTTGATATTAATTTTATTGTTTTATGGGGGAACATTCATTATCTTAGTTTTGTGATGTGATTTTTCATGCATCGTCTTAAGCTTCCACTACTGTTGCTACAGTTTACACACCGCTTAAATTTTCACTAATATTATAGAATGTTTTTTTGCATAACTTCAAATGAGATTTCAGTTAAATTTGTTATAAAAATTAAAATCTTGACTTTGTCACCTTAGATGAAATTTCAATTAAAACTGTGATTTTAAGTTAAACAAACTACTAATGTTAGTCAAATATTTGTAGAGTACATTGCAACAGCGTTCTCGAGCATAGTTAGAGAACTTAAATTAGCATACAGTTCTAAGATTGTTGTCAACTTCTCTTAAAACTTTTAATGTTAATGAGTAGTTGTCACATACATTTTCCTAAAATTTGTTTAGAAGATGACTTCAAATTTTAGTCCATAGCATTTCTTTTGAAGATGATATTATCGTCACCACGCAACGTACGGTTGCAACACTAGTTTTATATAATATTAAATAACTAAAATAAAATCGGATGGTTGAGATTGTTTGTTTGAGAATCAAATAATTAGTTGTGACAAAAAACAAGTCACAATGGCTAATGTTTGTCTTGTCTGAAGTTGTAATAATCATACAAACAATAAACCTTGTTTTTTTAGGAAAAAAAGGGAAACATATTATGAAATAATAATAAGGGGCCGTTTATTCAAATGCTTATCCAATATGCGTTTATTGATAAGAATCAACACTATAATTTATTTTGATACATAAGATTTTAGTACATTAAAACATATAGAATACATCAATTTACTTGGTAAGCACTTACCTGGGTAAGAGTCGTCATCTTCACTTACCGGTAAGACTCTTCATCCTTCTCGTCGCTCTTACCCAGTAAGATTTTTGACCCTTCTCATATTCATCCAATGAGAAAATTTATCTGGTAAACATTTACCAAGTAAGTACTTAGTAAACGGCCCCTAAAAATCTTTCATGAAAGTGGTAAAATGTCATTTTATTTTACCTTTTATAATTACTTTTATTTCAGGAGTGAAATTACAATAATCAATTTTTAATATTTGAATTAATAAATATTTAATGAATATTTGATTATTTATGGTCAACTAATTAGTTTTAGATAACTAGTTTTATATCAAGTCACAATAATAAATGTAACACTTGTATTTTTTTTGCTTAATTGTTTAAGAGTATAGATTTGTTTTAACAAGTCATTCAGTGTCCAGCTATTACTGAATGTTCGTGACTTTTGAATCAAGAGTCATGGTAGATTTGAGATGAAGAAAAGTTGTGTTGGAGGTCATCTGAGGCATTAAGAGACCTCCCATGTAAGTTCGATCAGTCGAGATGTTGCAAGTCAACTTAAAAACATAATACACTGCCAAGCTAGTTGTCAAGTGAGTTAAACTCACCTTAAAACTAGCGCCAGGATTTTCGGCTCGAGCTAGTTTCAGCGCTAGTTTAAACTAGCGGTGAGACTAACACCAGACATTAAAATTCTCGGGCTAGTTTGTACGCTAGTTTAAACTAACGGTGAAACTAGCGTGGAGGCCTGACCTGCACAAAAAAAAACGAAAATCAGGGTTTTCCTCATTCTAGCCATAACTTCTTCATTTCTACTCCGTTTTGGACAGTTCTTTTTGCTATAGATTCGTTTTTTAGATCTTCAAGATGGGAACGATGATTATTAATGATTCTTTGATGATTTTAGAGTTCATAGAAGTTGAAAATAAATCACATCTTTGTCTTTTGAATCTAGGGTTTGGTCCTTTTGCACTAACAACTCTCATTCTATCTTTGGTTCTCTGTTGTGCATGTTTTGGAATAAAATGAAGTGTTATTAAGAGCTTTGCACCATATATTTGGAGTTGTAGTTTGAGGATTTCATCTCTTCACCAAATGAAACTCAAGATTGGGGTAAAACCTAGATTTAGCCTAAATCTAACAAGGTGAATTCAGGTTGCTTTGTGAAAACTATGTACATGCCAAAAATGTCCATTTTGAAGTATTAACATGTTATACTTGCTACTTATCAAATGTGTGGGTTATTTAGTGAGTTTTGCATATTTGGTGTATTTGGTTTTATAAATCATGTAAAATGTTTATATTTGATTTTTGGACATTTTGATAAATAAATCATAAGTGTGGGTCCTTTTGATAATTTATTATTTAAATAAAGATTATTTGATGATAAATGTATATTATTGTGTTATGAGACTTTTTGGAAATATAAACGATATGGTTTATATTGAAAATGATTTGTCCCAATCAATGATGTGCTTTTAAATTAATCATGTTTTTTGAGCATGTATTTGCATGTTTACTAGAAGGGTACTCGCGCAATGCAGCGAGATACATTTTGATTTTAATATTTCGTTATATTCTTTATCTCGGTTGATGTTATAATATGGTCTTATATGATTTTGAAAAAATGATAATGTTTTTATTTTTGAATAATATATAAATTTAAAGATATCATAAGAATTTGACAAAAATATCGATATTGGTATCAAATTAACTATTTAAAATTCATCATTTTTTGTGTAATTTTTTAATTCAACTTTTTTATTATAATTTAATTTAGGTTTAATAATGAAGTAATTTTATATTTAGTTTAATAATATAATTTTTTATAAGATAATAAATAATTATCTTAATTATATTTTAGATTTTTTATATTTTAAAATGAGATGTTTATCCTCTATTTGATTATGTTTATCCTCAGTTCGTGACACGAATTCAAACATGAAGCTTTAATAAGTTGTACTTACGCATAATTTACTTGTAATCTTAAATTTAAGTAATATGCATCAATAAACAGTAATTCATGCATAAAAAATAGTTTTTAATAGTTTTTTGTCAAAATGCTTTATAATTTAATATATATATATAATGAAATTAGGATGTTGAATGGTTAAGAGATGCCTGAGATACAAAATCATTCAGAGAGTTTTAAAACCATTAAGAAGCAGATTTTTTTTTGTCAAACAAGATCCACCTCTTAACGATTCAGATGGTATATATTACTGAAACTATTACGAGATGAACAAACAAGCCCTTGTAGTGATTTTTATTTTAGGGATATTAAAGGAGTAAAAGGTGTAACGTCACAAAATTTGTAATTTACTGTTATATGTTTTTCAAAATGAGTACGGATGTTGTGGGCCGGCCCACTGGGCCCCCCTCCATCTATGATTCCAAATTTTCAATCATTACCCACCAACATAACTCTGAAAATATGACCGTTACGAAATCATCCCCCTTTTTCTTCCAACGTTTATTTCATTTCAAAATTTAAGCCCTTTCCCCCAATTTCCACTTTAACATAATCTCCCTCTTCCTCATTCAATCTCACATTCATCCTCGAACAAGCCCTTCTTCCTCTCTCTCTCTCTCTCTAACATCTACAGTCTTCAATTTCTCTCTTTCTTCAACTCATCAATGGCGCTTAGACCTCTTGATAACACCTTGCCCTTGTCCCCAGAACGCCCCAAAAAGAATCTGAAAGTTTCGAATTCAATTGCTAAACCTAAACAGCTTGCAGACCCGACTGCAAATGACGAAAATATAGCCCCTTTGGCTTCTGTAACTCCTGTTGTTGACTCCATTGATTATATATCATCTGAAGATCTGAAGCCCATTTCAGATGCCGATGTTAAGTTCCAGGTAAGTAAGCACGAGTCTTTCTGTGTGATTCCTTCAATACCTATTTGTGATTTTGCTTATATTGATTTGAATTTTGATTTTGGGGAACTCAGAGCCTGATTGAAGGACTGGAATCCAAAGATTGGCTGAAGATTTGTGATTCATTGAACGATGTTAGGCGGATGGCGTTGTATCACTCCACTCTATTACTTCCAATCTTGTATGTAAATCCTCTTGCCCCTCATGATTCTATAATCAGAAAGATCCTTTTCAAGTTTGAATTTGTTCATTTGGAATCTGAGTTCTTCTACCACATTTTTATTTAAACCAGATAGTTTTCTGTAATTTCGTAGCAGAAAAATCGTGGGGTTTTCTAATAAATGTGATTCTGTAATCATCCAGGGAAAAGGTTTTGTTGATATTAGTGAAGGCAATGAAGAATCCAAGAAGTGCTTTAATCAAGACATCGATCATGGCTTCCTCTGATCTTTTCAAATCCTATGGTGATAAGTTGCTTGAGTCCACCACCTCAGATGCAGTTAACCACATGGTATGTTACATGCATGATAAATGATTTATTAGTTTTTATAAGAAGAAATGATTGAGAATTTAGTTGTTGATTGGATATGGTGAATACTTTACAGATTCTCCAGTTGCTACTGAAAGCTTCTCAAGATAAAAAGTTTGTGTGTGAAGAAGCAGAGAGATCATTGAACACAATGGTGGTGTCCACAACACCCATCCCTTTGCTTCAGAAGCTCAAAGGATATGTCAACCATGGAAACATGAGAGTTAGAGCCAAAGCTGCTGTTTCAATCTCTCGTTGTGTCTCAAAGATGGTATGTGAAATCACTCTCCTTTTGGTGTACTGTTGTTTCACATAAACAATTGCTCTGTATTTTGGGTAGAAGTCAGTTTGGTTTGGTTTAATCTAATTTGAGATATGATTTTTAGGAAATGGAAGAGTTGAGAGATTACGGATTGGTTTCGTTAGTACAAATGTCGGCTGAATTGTTGAAAGATAGACTCCCTGAAGCACGAGAGGCGGCTCGAAGCATTGTGTTGTTGATTTACAGTGCGGTTATGGAGGAGGAAGATGAGAGCAAAGAAGAGGAGAAGCAGCAGGAGAAATGGCAAAAATTTTGCCAGTCAAATTTGTCAGCCATTGATGCATTGGCCATGGCCAAACTTGTTGCATCTCAGTAGAGCTTTTTGTTTTTTGGTTTTGTGTGTGGTGATTCATAGTAGGGAAGACCATCATCATGCTGATGAAGATGGCTTTACTTGTTTAGTTGTTGCAAACTGCCTCTCTTATCTGTAAAGAGGGGTTTGTTCTTTAGGAAAACTAGTTTCATCTGTTTCAGAAAGAAAGTTCAATTCATCTTATTATTGGTTTGATACCTTTCTTTTCTCCCCAAATTCAAGAACACGGCATGATCTTAAAAACAGAACAAAAAGTGAACAAATGACCTATAAATGTGAACAGCTTAAATCAACATGAAGAGGGTTGCTGAAAACTACTTTGATTTGAAACCATTTGTACAGTACAAGCATATGCAATATAACATAAAGATTACAAATGGCATTTCAATGGGAAATTCTCCCAAAATCTTGAAAACAGAACAAAAAATTGAACAAATAGGCCACATCACATGTCGACGTGTTATTTAGAGTCTGTCATTTTCTTCAATCAATTTACGCAATGCTGACTCGACATCCGTAAGTGGTTGACCAATGTAAAGCTGCAGTTGTCCTTTCTTCACCACAACTACTTTCATGATCTGTGATTTGATTGCCTCTTTAAGCTCCTGAAAGAGAGGTTCAATATTTTTCCACTGTCATTCATCTCATACACCAACTAATCAAGTATAACATGTTAATTGAAGCCATGAATGATTGAAAGCATCCATGAATCAAGTCAAGTTCTGCAAGATTTAGATTATCTGTTTGTTTGTTTCTATTAAGTCATGTCTGGATTAAGCTATCTTGTCTGGTTAAAGATCAATTGCTAATTGTTTTCTATGCTCCTCAATGAACCGTTTGAATGATGTAAATTACCATTTTACCCCTCCAATTCATTTCAATCAATGAAGATGTAAAAATCCAAATCATTGAACTTTGGATCCCCAGTTTGTAAAACCTGAAATTATTGAACTTCAGATTCCAAGTTCATTTCGATCAATTATATTTTAGAACTCACATTTGTTGGTATTGGTATGATGCTGGTACTGAAGTCACCAAGATCTTCGAAGAAGGATTCCAGAAGATAACTGAAGTTTGTAGCATCACCACGATCTTCAAAAGCAACAGTGTGAGATAACCCGCTCTTAGTTTCAAGAGTGCTTCTTAAAGTAAATAGTCCTTCCGATTCTTCACCATCACCACCTCTTTGCATGAGGACAGCCTGATAAAGAAAATGTTAAGAGACACCCAAGAACCATCATGTTCTTTAACCTTTACAGCTTCAACAGAAACACATAAATCAGAGTGACCGACAATGAAACCAGTGAACCTACTTAACGTTTATGCATGACATTTGACAGTTAAACTTTCGGCCACAGCCTTCCATGATAACTTAAAATGGACATCCTTATATTCATATTTATGATGTCAAATCTTCTTTTTTTTAAAGTATACAATATCTATATACCGCAAATAGAACAAATAAACTCACCCACACTCCTGGTGAGGTTTGAACCCTTGACCTCCTAGGACGCCAAAGGCTCACATACCGCTAGGCCAAAGCAATTGTTCAAATCAAGTTGTTAATATATGAAAGTTAACATCTAAAATTCAAACCAAACAAACCCAGTAAATCTCACACATGTAGGATCTTGGGGTAGAGGTTATTTTAGTGAAGATCCCGGGTTTGTAAAACAAAAAAATTATAATAAACAAAAGAGTATGTGCAATCAAACAAAGTGTACATTTAAACAGACAAGACAAGGCAAGGTAGCAGAAACAGAAGTGATGAAAGTAGGTTAAAACAATCAAGAAAGCACAAAGAGCACAACACTGACAACTACTCAATACAGGAAGAAAAGCTGAGATTAGCGTCTAATAGGCAGCTCAACATCTGGTTTATAATCAAGCACAACAAATTACATACCAGAACATAAGGGAGACTAGTCCACCAAAAGTCGGTCTGGGTACTAGATTTCATATCCCCAAGATGTTTGGCAGATTTCCCGTTTCCACCTTTTTTGCCCTTTAAACTGCCATTGTGCTTGGAAGATGTTGCATTATCGCTCTGACTTTCTTTACCAAAGCCTCGAGGTTTCCTTGCTTCCAGGTTGCTTGATTTCCCGTACTTTGCGGCTCTACCTGCTTGCTTATCATATTTTGGCTCCTTTGAGGAACCTATATCACAAAAACAAATATAAAAATCTCTTCAGTAAATCACATTAACGCACACTTCACAGCTGCAAGACCAAAGAAGTCTACAAATCTCAACTCCTAAAATGGTCTGAAAGAAATCTCTATCTGTACTGTTGAAAGAGTTATATCACTTTCCTTCCCAATAAGCCTGCTTTTCTACTATTGTTATGACATGTTTTCTGTACACTCTTCGGCCCCGTTTGGTTTGCGAGATTTGGAATTGGATTCAAATTCCAATCCTACTTCTGGTTTAAAGGAAAGTCTCGAATTGAAATCCTGTGATTTCAATAAAATCCCACAAACATGGGATATCTAAATCCCATGGGGGTGGGTGGAATTTGGTGGGATTTCATAGGATTTGTTTGTAATAATGTGTTTACAATATGTTAAAAGCACTAGTTTTGTAATAATCAATTAATAAAAAGGCAATTTAACTTATTTTAACAAATCCTTTCACAAATTCCAAATCCCTAAAACATTAAGTCACACCAAACAACCCTTAGTTTTTCTTCTTGTACCAGTAATATCAGTATTGTGCATTGTGTTTCTTTGTTTGTTTTAACCTATTTCCACACATGTTTCTCTGCTGCATTTTTTTGTTTACTTGCTTATTTGCACACACACTCACCTGAACTTTGCTCTCTTGTTTCTTTAAATTTTTGTTTTGCAAATCAGGGATCTTACAGAAACAGTCTCTCTACATCCTAGACCTACCTCTACATGGGATTTACTGGGTATGTTTGACTTTAAGTCCGTTTTTCTAGTGACATGACTAAAAACACCTAGAAATGAATAACCTTGTATATTGCTTCTTGAGACAGACATCATAATTCAAACTCAGTCATACTAACAAAATGACAATCATATGCTGCCATAAAGAACTGTATTTTGAACATACCAGCTATCGATTCAGTCTTAGATACTCTTGGTTCTGCTCTTTCACTCCTCTCCACCGACTTATTTTCTGGCTCACTGAAGGGTATAGATTCATCTATTGGTTTTTGCACTTTAATTTCCGATCCCTCACCATTTGGGACATCTATCTGCTCATTGCTATCTGATATATCAACCCCATTATCACTACTAATACCATTGATCAATGTTCCATTAGCAACATTATGATCTTCTCCATGAAATCCCTTTGGTTTATCCCCTGAATCAATCGATGGGCTTTTGTATTTATACTTCTTTTTGAACATCAATGAACCAAATGCTTCTTCTGCAGCCGAAGTACCCTTTTCACCATTGTTCCTAATATCACTTTCTTTGGTTGGAAACTTAGGGGGCAACTTCTCGTAATTACCTTCTAAACTTTTTCGCAACTTCATTAATCGACCATCCACCTCTTTCTCCTTAAGTTTTTTATCAATTAAATCATAATCAATATCATCATCTCCTTCTTCCACTAACCCTTTTTTCTTTGCCTCCAGATTTCGAGCTTCCCTTGCCATTTCTTTAATTTCAGTAATCTTGTTATCCATTTCGGACTCATCAACCAAAACCATCCCACCATCTTTGGTCTCGATTAAATTTCGATTCTTGCTCAACAATGAATTTGATTTCGATTCATTGGTTCTATCTAGAACCCTAGGTTGCTTGAAATCGTCACCATTCAAATTTCCATCTTCACCCTCTAAATCATTTGATCCAAATATCATTACCGCGCAAATCGTCTGCAAAATGAAAGCCCCAACCAGAAAGAACCCGATTTTAACGAATGACCTAGGTGAAAACTGGGCCACAATGCCATCGACAAATCCAGTGGTTTCCGATACTGAAAGTTGGTCGGCTTCAGCAAGCTGCTGTTGCACCGTTTCGTCTATGGAAGTTGTCGGGAGTTTTCGGGGAAAATCGGGATTAGAAGGGTCGGGATAAGGTTTGTTTTCTAGGGTTTTGAGAATCTTTTGACGTAGATGGTTGGTTCTTCTTCGTCTTGACGGAAACGATGAGGAAAGAGAAGAAACTAAGACGAATGATTTACCGGGGATTGGAGAAGCGGAGGTTGTCGGTGTGACGGAGGAGGAAGGGATGGCAACGGCGGCGGCGCGGTGGACACCCGCCATTGGATTTTTGAAATTTGTTTTGGGCACGAATAAAGATTGCTTCTGGTTTGTGTCTGTCTCAAATCTCAATGGTGGAAACATATTTAATGTTTGTTACGATTTGAATTTTTTTTATTATATAACAAAAATTATTAAAAATATAATTTTTTTATTTTATATAATTTATTGAAGATATTCTTGTAAATAAACAATCAAAATTAATTAAATATATATATATGATTTTTAATTAAATATTTCGAACAAAAGAAATAGTTCAATTTTGGCTTCAAAATAATGGTTAATGGTTTTATTCTTTGAAGTAGCCCAAAAACTTGCAATCTTCAACACAAATGCTTTTTTTTAACTCCTTCAATTATCTAAAGCTCCAGTAAGCATAATATCGTGCATTACATGCATCTTCATTGGACTTTAATGCATTTGTTTGAGTCTTCGCAACTAAGCTCATCAAAGCTTCTTTGATTAGTTTCGATCTTGATCTTGTAATTGGGTCATCTTGAATCTTTAAGGGATCTTTTGACGCTTGATAAGTTTGGTTAGATGGTCATTCATCATGGATTATCAAACACTAAAAAATTGTTCAATTCCAACCATTCGCTAAAGTAGTGGTGGGCTTGTAATGTTTTGAAAATCTCTTTTTTCGTGCGGTTGCAGAAACTCTAATAAATCTGAAAAGTTTTTAAAAATTTATATTGCATTTTTTACGTGAATCAATTTAACTAATGAAATTCATCCAAACCAGCTTTGAAAACTAACCCAATTCAACTCTGCATTAACAGCATAGCCGTGTGACAAGTCGAATTTCAAAAAGTAACATATGAATCTTTCTTTAATATTGATTAGTAAAATGTAAAAGAAAAATGAATTTTTAATTCGAAAGAAAATGCATTCAGTCCACATGGTTTTTCTAAATAATTCATAAACTTAATAAATTGACCAAAACGAAAATATTTGTTACTATTACACTGTAAAATATTTAACTGAAAATTATAAAAAATAATTTATTAAGCATTAGGTATGTCTTGTTAATTTATAGCATGTAAAGTTCGTGTTTTCAGCAAATTTAATCATTATGGGTTGTAATGTGTTTTTATGATAAACCAATAGACGTATGTACTAAATTTGGGAGCATTTTGCCATTTATGGTGCGTTTGGTATGTGGAACAGGTTGGGACAAGACATGACACACTTGTCCCATGTTTGGTGTGTTTCTAAGTGGAACTAAGTGGAACACGTATGGGACAAGCCTGTTCACCCTCACCCCCTGGAACTAAGTGGAACAAGACATATTTGACAAATATACCCTAAACCTAATACCCATCTCCATTGATTTCTTCACAGTAGACGTTCATCTCCATCGATTTCTTCACAGTCCACCTCCATCTCCATCGATCTCCATCTCCATCGATTTCTTCACAAGAGACCTCCATCTCCATCAATTTCTTCACAACATCCAAGAACAAATGCACGGTCAATTTCTCTCGATTTTTTATGTGTTCTATTTGGATTTCACGAACTGGGGTTTGTTCTATTTGATGAAATTCGAAATGATTTTTTATTGATTTTGTGTTTTTAGTTGAATCATGAACCGGGTATTGTGATTTTTGATCAATGATGAACTGGGTATTCTTCACAGCCGGCCTCCGCCTCCATCTCCATCGTCTCCTCCATCTTCGTCGTCTTCTTCATAGCTGGTAATCGATTTTGCCTACTGTTTCGCTTGATATTTCGATTTTGCCTACTGTTTGGATTTTGCCTACTGTTTCACTTGATATTTCGATTTTGCCTACTGTTTGGATTTTGCCTACTGTTTCTCAACACACTCGATTTTGCCTATTGTTTCGTCTGATATGTAGTTATGTACTTGAAATGTCATTTGGGGTAAATTGGTCATTTTAACCAGTTCGGTCCTGTTCTGTCCTGTCCTGTCATATATTACCAAACGCTGAACACCTGTCCTGTCCTGTGTTGTCCTGTCTGCGTACCAAACGCACTCTTAAGCAAAATAGGGTCGTCAAAATATTAAAAAGCAAAGTTGTGAAGATATTTTGGGTGTAAAACCCATAAATCCTCAATATATCCTCATAGTTGGTTGTTCAAAAGCTTCAAATGGAAGCAAAATCCTCTCTTTGCAAGTCAAGATACTTGTTGTGATTAAAAAAAAAAAGTGGGTGTTTGTGGATGGAATACTTGTTTGAAGATTAGATCACAAAATCACCATTAAAGCTTGCATTTGAGATGTAATCTACAAACTGTATGTTGGAGTTACATATGTTGTATTGTTTTAAAAGAAACTTAAAACTATCACTGAAATTTCTTATTCAGTGATCGTTTGTTTTAAAAGAAAAAGAATGATGAATTGTGATATGTTTATGACGTCATTAAAAATTTTATGGTATCACGTGCGTCCTTCTGACACACACGATCCATTACTCTTCAACCCAATCATAGGATGATGATGTGCACAAATTCATCATTGCACATCTTTTCGAAACGTCATTTTCCTCTCTCTTCTTTCTCTATCATCTCACATATAAATATAAGATTCACCTTCTCATATTTCTCTTTACATTTACACAAGAATTCTCTCCCAATAACTTTGTGCAAACAAGAACATTTAAAAAAAAACTCTCTCGACAACCTCTTTACGATATTATAATTAAGACTTTATGCGTAAAGAAGTTGTACCTTATGCATTTAAGGTTGTTTTTAAGACTTTTAAGGTTGTGAATAATACTATAAAACTTTATGCATCAAAATGTAGTACTTTATGCATTTAAGGTTTTTTTAAGATTTTTTTCAAATCTGGTTTGTAAGATAGTATATATATATATATATATATATAGAGAGAGAGAGAGAGAGAGATAAAGTTTATTTTGCAAACACGTTATTTGTACAAACCGTACAAACCTAATTCAACCAATCATGATTTCATTTTGTTCATTTTTTGTAATTACGAGATGCTGATTAATCATTTTTATTGTGGAAGGTGTTAATCATGGATATTATCATCTTTATCATTTTAATTTTAGAGAAATACATGAAACAGTTTCATTAAAATTTCATTAAGTATTATATGAAACAATTTCATAACCATATATGAAAACAACTTTATCAAAAAAAGTATTATATAAAACAATTTCATGAAAAAATTTCATAAGATTAAACAGTGAAAAAGTATTATATATCATGTAATTCTTTTTTGCACTAGTATTCTCCCTAAATACAAATATCTATCATTTATTATTTGATGATGCTAGAGTTGTTCATGGACGATATGATCCGTTAGACTTAGCCTGTTAAAAAGAGTGGGCTTAGACAACCATTTTAAAAAATATGGCCGGGTTTGGTGGAACCGTTTAAATTAGTGGGCGGGCTTGGATAATGAAAAAAGAAATTTGGACATCCCGTCTGAACAGGTTTATAATAATCAATTAAACCTTTAATTTAATTAATATTTTTATTAAAAAGTTTATAAGTTGTTTTTGGTTGGACTTCCTCTGCTAAGTATCAACCACCTCCTGAATATATATACTATATATATGATATCTTGAAATATTAGGTCGTTAAATATTTTGTTGTTGAAGAATTCAAATTTCAAAGGGTGATGATTTTTGGAGAGAAACAATCCAACTTCATATTTTATAAAAAAAAATATTTTTTTTACGTTGTGTACATTAGTATATTTTATGTTTCTTTAGTTGGAGAAAACATTATTTTTAGGTCCGTTAGCAAGTCCAATCCGTTTTAGAACAGGTATGAACAAGTTCTCAAGCCTGTAAAAACAAGTTTGGATTTACTATATCAAACCCTTTGAACATAAAAAGTATGTTACTCCCGGCCCGTGGCCCACTCAAACCCATAAACGATCACCTCGAATGGTACCAATATCTATGTGGGTTCCCATGGTTTTCTTTAAAGAGGAGACACCGTCTAGCCAAATTAATTGGAAACAAACAAAGAATCATACACCTAAAAGGATGCAATACTATCGTCCATATAGTGAAGTATATTGATACAGGGACCCAGTAGATATAGTGAAGTATATTAACCTCAATTCTAAGCATAAATGGTTGAAACATCCTTTATGTCATAATACAAGAATCCAAAAACGATGGTAAACTTATACACAAATAAGCCCATGTTTGGGACTTGGGTAAACACACTAATTCTACAGTCATTGTGCGAGAGGTTAATCAACTCGTGTGTCTAATTGGCATAGAGAAGCAATGTCTAGACTTAAACTCAGTACTTCACTCACATTGATTAAACTCGCCCTCTACGGCTGAGACATATCAACGAGAACACTAAAGGGTTGTTTGTTTACCTCTTAATAGTTCTATTAAGAGGTGAATCTTGTTTGACAAAAATAAAGTCTACCTCTTAATAGATTTAGAACCCTCTCAATGATTTTGCATCTTAGGCCCTCCTTAACCATTCAACGCCCTAATTTTGTTGTAAACAATTATATTTCATTTTGCACTATATCATGAGAGCTTTTTAATCATTCTGCACCAAACTATTCAGCAACTGCCAAACAATCCCTAAGCCTGTGTTTTGGGAGAGCACTAAGAATGTGTTTTTGTATTATATTTCTTTTTATAATTAATAACAAATTAGACGATATAATTGAAAAAAAGTGGCAAAACTCTTATTCAAACGAGACTTTTGCAATAAGATAAAAAAAATGTTAGCTTATGATTGTCAAATATGTTTAAAACGTAACAAAGTCAACGAGTAAATGATATACTAAATGAAATAGAAAGGAAAAAAGTACGATTTTCCACAAGTTAATAAAAGAATGGGGACCTTTTTGGCATTTGAAACTTTGAAGGGCTTGATTTGTAAATATTATATCACAGGGACCTTTGGAAGGATTCCAACAGACGTCATGTACGCGTGTTTGATTTCAATACGCTACAATTCCCACAACACGGATTACAGTTTGCCTCCATTTAACATCTCATCTCCACCGTTGATTCCCATCATAAAAATTGACGGACTGAAATCAATTTCAAATTTCAAAACTTCGCGCGCCTACTTACAAATAAATACTCCCGCATCCACCGAATCATTCATCGATCTCACTTCCATCTGAAACCTACATTCTCTAGAACCCATCGGCAATGGCTCGTACGAAGCAAACTGCACGTAAATCAACCGGAGGAAAGGCTCCAAGGAAGCAACTTGCCACCAAGGCCGCCAGGAAATCGGCACCGGCGACCGGCGGAGTGAAGAAGCCTCACAGATTCCGTCCTGGCACGGTTGCGCTCCGTGAAATCAGAAAGTACCAGAAGAGCACTGAGCTTTTGATCAGGAAGCTTCCGTTCCAGAGACTGGTTAGAGAAATCGCACAGGATTTCAAAACCGACCTGAGGTTTCAGAGTAGCGCCGTGGCTGCGCTCCAGGAAGCGGCGGAGGCGTATTTGGTCGGACTTTTCGAGGACACAAATCTGTGTGCGATTCATGCCAAGAGAGTGACGATAATGCCCAAGGATATTCAACTTGCTCGAAGGATTCGTGGCGAGAGGGCTTGATTAACTTGTAACATTGCAATTTTTGGTTGGGTAATATTCTGGATATTTGGTTTAGTGAACATTGTTCCATGAAAATATGCTGTTTAGATTTTGGGGTTTGGTGGTTTCATGCTATGAATTTTATATTTGAAGTTATGTTATAACAATGAATCAATGAGACAATGACAGATGTGAATGCTTATTGGCAAGTGGTTGTTTTTACGTGGAGTTATTATACAAATATGATGCAACAGAACAGATTGTCAAAGCCTTACGATAAGAGTTATTGATAGAAGAAAAGTTATCCAAGGTGACAAGTGTAATTTTTTAATTCATACCCAAACAATTTTATTAACTTATGAAGTTCAAATTACAACACAAGTCAAATGAGATTGTATCGATTCAATGTAAAAGGATTCAATAAGGAAAACAAGTACTAGTTTGATGAGATCCAGAGTTAAGCACAATTTAGTTGTACAGAATGTTGAATACATGCTATGTTACAAGTAACCATAACCATTCTTCTGTACCCCCCAAGCAAAAAATCATTAGAAGAATAAAACTTTCTCAAAAGGTTCGCCTCTTCATGTCGATTCAACCATCCAAGTGAATGCCCAGAAAAAAAGAAAAATAAAGAAAACAAGAGGTAGACATTACCCGGCTACCCCAAGAAAATGAGCAAAGCTTGTATATTTCGGCTCCCATCCTATCTCCTCACGTGTCCTGGAGTTGTTCAATTTCTTACCCAAAAGGCCATCTGTCCCTGCACAATCATCATGTTTACAAGAATTTTTAAGCTTCATGTACCTAAAAAATATAGTGGTTTTTTCCCTAGCATACCACACGAAACAATTTATCAATCACATACTCATCGTGATCAAAGTTTATCATAAGCTTGGTCTAAAATTCCCGAACAACAATATCAATTATATAATTTCGCTCTATGGTTATCCAAATTAACAAATTGAAGTCCAGATTGGAAGTCAATGACTGGGGACTTGTATAATCCCATCTCAATTGGACGAAGAAGATGTAAATGATACACCTGTGAGATCCCACCTCAATTGGGTGGAGAGGATATAATTGTAGTCATGAAAAACTCGGTTTGTGATTGATAAAAAATATATGCAGGTGAAAACCCATCAAAGATCTGTGATCAGTTTCTCTCTTTTGCCAAAACTATAATTCTCATTATTTTGAAGTACCTGTAAAGCCCACAAACGTCTGATCAAATTTTCCACTCTTAGCAACCAAGTCCATCACTTCTTGTCTGAGAAAAAATATATATATTAGGCCAAAGATGGAAATCATGTATGGAGATGGAAACTTCATTAGAACAAACCTGGACACAGGATGATTGTCACATCCCAAAAATAGCCGATTGCGTAGTTTCTTTTTCAGAATTGCAACTGAGAGAGAGGCAGCATCCTGTATGGATGCAAAAAGAACTCCATATATCAAACAATGGGAACATACAATGAGATCACACAGAAATTTGGATCCATTCAGGTACAAAGGTGAGAGCACCTCATAATGGATGAGATTGACGATGTGATGAGCATTAGCTTCAATAGTTCCAACTTTCAAGTAATAGAGGTGCATTCCTCTATCTGCTTTGTGCTAAAAGAGTTAAGGATTGAGTAATAGAGGTTCACAGATGCATTTTGGATGTACAGGAATGTACCAAAGTTCAAGTGGTGTAAAAGGATATGTAAAGTCCTGCCAACCTAACCACACAGCCACCGGCATCCAGTACTATCTTCTCTGCTTTTAGAAGGACGTCTGTCCTGGGACTCTTCCCAATCGGTACTACTGGACTGTCCTGTATGCCCGATCAAGATGAGATCAGGTATAGGCAATATATAGTGACCAAGAATGTCAATATTCATGCTTTAAGCATCTAGTTTCTCATATAAAGGATCATTTGTTTTTTGTGATTCCTCAAACAATAAGAAGAAATAAAAATCAGCACAAAGTTTTCTCACAGTAAATGGCAGGGTAAGCGTGAATTTTCTGACCAAGTCAATTGCTTGTTGTATAATAGTACAAGAATATAAGATGTTTATCAGCTTGTTTTTGTTACGAGTCCCTTACCAGCTTTTTTCTTCCTTTTTGTTACGAGTCCCATTGTGGAAAGGTAAATGAACATTTGTTATGTCTTTTATGCTAGTGCTTAAGAGCAGGCTACCTGCAGCTGCTGCTGGATATTCTTTTAGATCACAGACTGGGATTCATGTAAATAAACAAACTTAAACATTCATCTTCCACTAGTTGGCATATAGCTAACTCAACCTATGCATTCTTGGCTATCCTATCTCAAGCTACAAGCTCTCTGAGCGGCCATTGTATATGCCCATGACAAAATAAATTTGATTGGTGTATAACCTTTTAGTGATATGCTGCATTGGAACCTTGTGTAGTGAGTCCAACAGAGCTGCTTTCGAAAATTTAAACTAGGTAGCAAGGCAGGTCATAGCCTCCTCAGTGACAGATTCCAGTTCTACATGCATGTGTAAATATGTAAGCCCTACATTGATGTATTTGTTAAGTGAGGAAGGTCTAGGTCATTTTTCTCTTAGTGATGCACCACATTGACGCTTGGTATGGTGAGAAATGATCAAGGGGTCTTAGAACTCTAATGGTTCTGAGGGAACAAGTCAACCCCATGACTAAAAATGCATGCTTTGAATAAACTAAGTTGGTAGATAAAATATCTAAGCAAATCAAGAGAATGGGTTTTTACTTGCAGCATGCAACAAAAAGATTGTTCTAGGAATGGGGTAGGTATTATAATAGATAAGAGCCTCATAAACTAAACTAAGATAGCAGTGACGATGAAACGATTTGAGGTTTCAGGTATGATTAAAAGAACCATGGGTAGAAGGTGTCTAGGCTGCAGCAGCTTGCACTTTGGAGATTGCAAACATTTCCTTAAGTACATGTGACTTCATTTAGTAACCATTAGTAGAGGTCGGAACACTGGTACAATTTGTCCTCACGATGAAAGGGATTGAGTGTTATTCCATGTATGTTAAAGTGACAAGGCAAGGTGTTCGTACAAATTGGAAGATGAGAAAAACCATCTTAATTTTAAGGGTTTAGATTGGTCCACAGTAATACATCGCACACTTGGTGCGACTAGCAATGTTGTAGTGTGATAAGTTATGGTCATGCAAGAAATAGATATAATAATATCTTTGTTATTTGGGATCAATGTTACACAAGGACGTAGAGAAAGATTAGAAGGTTAATCATGTAAAAAGAGAAGATGATAAAATGGCAACAAGCTTTGACAGTCTTATGTAGTCGGTAAGTTCTGTTGAAGATGATAGGTAAATCCTATAAGAACAAATGTGGTAAAATATTGGCTGTCAGAAAAAGCCGCACGTACACAAGATTCCAGCAAAAATGAGAATGTTCAGGTGATTGTGTGGCCATACAATGAGGGATTGAGGCATATGATTAGAAATGGTGATATACAGGGGGAGGTTAAGAAGCTGAGGCTGAGGCAGCATGCTTGAAATGGTTCAATCATCTCACATAGACCCTTCGATGCACTAGATGGAAGAAAAGATTTGTACCCAGAGGAGGTCGTTAAGAGAGGTTGAGGTCCTGTGATCCCGTGATTGACATGGGAAAAGTAGTAAACAAAATTTTAGTGAATGGACATGGAAAAAGAGTTCGCTTTAGATAAGAGTTTATGGAACAATGCAATTCATGTTTTGAAGCCAAACGGAAGTTCAGAGAAGCAAAATAAAAAGAAGTAACCCAATGACAAAGAATTAGAAGGTTCTGTCAGCAGCAGAATATTTTTGTTAGATCCAACACCTCATAGCATTCTCCATTGTCATAGCGATCATATGGTGCTGAGCTTGAAGTAAACAAGAAAGAACCTTCACCATTCCATAGTGATGCAGCTCCCCTGTTTGTTTAACATCAAAGACAATTAATGGAATTCAGAAATCAAGTTTAGGAGCCATCTTCAAGACTTGGATGAAACAAATCATGTCAATTGAACAGGAACATAACTAGGTTCAGATAAAAGATGTTGCAGCAAAGAATTAGGAAAACAAAAAATGTGAAAACGAATAAATAAAATGGGCGTTTAAACTCGATATGACTAGAACTCATAGCATAATCTAATATTTATACTTTGTTAGCCATAAAATGAAGAAACTAGATAGAGTTCCATAATACTTCTAAATCTTGGTAACTTATCTTGATACTAACAAATTATTCCATAGGTCCCAAAATAATTTCATTATTCAACTAGGTGCATGGTATGGAAGTGCTCATATATACTTGTTAAACATCTACACTGCATTTCAATAACGAGAAAATAAAGGGAACCCTTTGGACTTGATCAATTTCGTCAATAATTTGAAATGATAACAGGAGGCGAATAAGTAATATTGGCTTGAACTCTTTTCACAAAAAGCAAATGTTACAATTATTATGAGACATCCCACAACAGAAAATGTTGTAATTTTTTTTTAGGATGATGGAATACATTTATTTGAACTCGATCAACACAACATGACACCAAATAAGATGTTAGATGTATTTTAAAGTTAGTAAGATGTAAATCATATTCCTGTCTTCTTTGATGTCAACCACCACTAAATCAGAGTTCATAATAACAAAAGAGGATGACTGCATAATCAAATTGAGAAAAAATACACATGCGGTATGCTATACTCTGGTAAATCAACTTTAAATCTTCTGAAAGCTTTGATGTATCAATCTACTAACACAAAAAGGTTTTTCAAAGAATAGCGAAGTTTAAGACATGAAGCCATTCTGTTGTTAACTTCTTGGTAAGAGCATCTACTGTAAGAAACTGACTGGAGATGTTTTAATTCTTAATAAGGTACATAAATGAAAAAGAAAGAAAAAACCCAGCCTAATCTTGCAATGGTTATGAGGAAACACTATAAGAACTTTTCAGAGGGGGAAGTTCTCATGCCTTACCCGACATCGCTAGCGTAGTCTGAACTTCGAGAAGGCGGGGCACAGAAAATCACGTAAGGGAACTTATGGTCCCTTTTAACTCCCTTCAAAGTTGGATGTATCCCCATTTTAATAAGCTCCTCGTGGTGGTCAGTAGTGATTGTCTCCCCAGTAATTTGGCACCCTGGGTGTTCCTGCCAGCAGAATGGCAGCATCCATGAGGAACACATATTGCAAATAGTTTGAAACAAGTGTAACATGAGCTACTTTTCAAAATTCTAAATCCACCTAAAATTAAAGAAAAAGACTCCGAGTTACTTAACCAATTAAACAAGAAAATCTACCAACATGGAGTAAATCAAACAGGCAGCAAGTACGATGTGTTCTATAATAGATTGTACAGTAAATTTTAACATTTTTCTCACCTCCCGCCATTTCTCTGCGACTAAGCGACCAAGAACACCTGGTCCAACAATCAGCAAATCATTTGCTCCAACAGTGGCAGCATATGAACTGTCCAGTTCTTCACTTGCAGCACCTTCAGCATCATCAAGTTTGTGAAGAGAGTTAAAAGGTGAGTATCAACAGTGTCAGTATTGAAAAAGTAAAATCAAGGATAAAAGATAAGTTAAATACACAACAAAGTGCACATATATGATAATAAAAAGAGCAGCCTTAAAGTGAGACTATAGGAGCTAGTATTATTGGATTTTCAGCTTTAGCATCAATGGAACAGCATAGTGAAGCTCAGCAATATATTATCAAATGCAAGCAAGCATGCATTTACCATTCAGATACATTATGAGGTTTTCACAACAGTGGGTATCATTGAAACATTATATGCAACATATAATTGGAAGGAAGAAATTGAGAGGAAAAGAATGCGACTTTCTGTTCTTCAACTAGAACACTGGTACCCGAGTGGGTCAGATCACGAGAAATGCATATAGCAATATCAAAAGCTTGGGTTTGCTAAAAAAATACATCAAAAGCTTGGGTAAAATGCACCAATTAACACCTCGCAATGGCAATTTGGACCACATAAGTCTCTTTTTCTCAAATTTATACATTTATTCCTCTCCGTTCCCTCTTACATATATAATGGTTCTTTCTTTTTAAATTTGTTATTTATATTTTATGAATAACACTTATATTTTTATATTGAGAAATGAACATACTTTACCCATATTTTTCAACATCGCTCGAATGGGACCATCACTTAGTTTCACCCAAGCTTCACATATTGACATCCAGGTTTGGATTCATGACAAGTGACAATATCCAATGAAGACTGGCTTTCAGAATACAAATAGTATGAACTAAATAAATACCTTAAGATTTTAGCTCCTTTCAAAATATATAACTAAAACAGTTTTCAAACTCTAATTGCTGTTTACCATGCTCTTTGGTTGTTTAATTTGTTTGGAAAAGGCAATGAGAGATATACACTCAGTAAATTTGGGATCAAATGCCACCAAATCATGTTTGATGATCTCTTTTTTGTTTAAACTTGATTGTCTAGACATTTAATAAGATATCAACTAGAATTGAACATATTTTTTTCTAAAAAAGTTTCATTAAATGTTTTACTCAAACCTGCTTATATTTTTCTCAAAACGTTTCATAAGGGAAATATAAACACACTTAGAAGAAGAAAAAACATTTGATAAAATTTCTCTAGAGAAACATGTTGAGTTGTATTGGGTTGTTTTTCATCATAAAATTAAACACTAAACGACGGATACAAATTGATTAAAAAGCCTGAAAATATTTTATTCAATTATTTTTGAAATAAAACTAAATATCCAGAGTACATTTATTTAACTTACATTTTTTTTTCTTATTCTATACTTGTAATTTTGTAAATACAGAAATAAAACCATGTAACCTACAAAGATAAAAATGATAATGTAAGAATATGGGAGAGACATAGAGAGAGGAAATAAGCGAAAAATTTGACAGAAGTTTAACAACTGCATATAATTCAGTAATATGGTAATCGGTACAAACTCCATAGGTATTAGTATAATTGATCCAAAAACTAATGTATCTTTACCAACTGATCATGGAAAACAGATCACTTTGAAGAGTCGTTGTAAACACAGGATTCACATTCATAAACTCGATCATCCCATTGAATAGAAATCAGTCGACAAGTTATGATGATGGAACACATTAGATGCATATAGCAATTCAATCAAATTAACATTCCATTTGTCAATCAATCATAAATCCAACAATCTACAATAAGATAGAAAGAATTTAATACAAAATGGAAACAAGATGTAGAGTATTTGGCCTACCAGTGGAGGAGGAAGCATGGACTTGGAGAGTGGAAGAAGCCATCGATGAAGATGATAGAGAAGAGATGTGCTTGGATACGAAATTACGATTAGGGTTTGTAAGGAAGGACAGAAAGGAAATTGAAGACTTGGAGCTCCGGCTGCGTGAAGAGGATAATCTAATTCCGGTGAAGGTTGCCGGAGATATACAAACAGTTGATCCCATTTGATGGTGTTGGATAAGATATGGTGTGGACCGTGTGGTGGCCTGCACCCTTTCTTTGACGGTTGACAGATACCGGAATCTCGGGTCGGAGTTTTTCGATTACCATACCAATACCCACGATCGGATCTGTCCGTGAGTTAAACCTTTGGAAGGAGTTGTTAAAAAATAGAGTAAATTACATGTTTGGTCCCTAAAGTTTACATGTAATAACACTTTAAGGGCCGTTTACAAACGTTTGCTTTGTAAGCTCTTACCAGACATCAATATCATTTATTTTATTATGAAATATTTTCTGTTATCAAAATGGATTGTTTGGTAAGTATCTTAACCTGGTAAACATTTATCGTTTAAAAGTCTTTTTCTCACTTACCGGGTAAAATTCTCGCTCCTTGTTGTGCCTCTTGTAAGATTTTCGATCTTGTCAAACTTAATTGGTAAAACAAGTGATATCAATAAGCGCTTACCTGATAATCATTTAGCAAACATCCTTTAAGTCTAATTTTTTTTTTTTAATAATTATGGTTTACGATTTTTCCCGTCTTTCACCCCTTACCCTAATTCCATCCGAAATGTGAGGGGATATGGGATCTTACGACACATTATTTGAAGTTATAATATACTTTGTTGATCTTTTTTATGGAAATGGTTTAAAAAGACTAAGGGGCTGTTTACTAGGCGCTGACCGGTCAGCAATGCTGACTCGGTCAGCAGTCAGTTTGTTTACCGAATTACCACTCTGACCGGAAGCTGACCGAGTGCTGACCGAGACCGCACGAAAATATTGCTTACCCGAGTCAGATTTCTTCTTTCCGTGCTTGCCCCTTTTCACACAATTAGGTTTTCATCTCATTCCTGTCGCTCCTCCCCTCTCCCCCATCGTTCCATTCCAGTCGCTCATCCCCTCTCCCCTATCGTTCCTTCCTCCTCCCTGTCTCTCCCGACTCTCGACGCTCCTCACCTTCCCTCATAGTCGCTCGCCTTTCATCCCTGGTAATCGATTTGGGAGCCACCGTTTGTGTAACAGGTACTTTCCCTCTATCTTTTCTCTTTTTTTTTTTCTAGTAATCGATGCCATTTTCTGTATTTTCTTTTCTCTGTGTTCTCCTCTGCATCACAGACATGAATACAATTCTATGTTGAAAGTGTTTTATGTATTGTCGCTGCACAGTTGTGCCCTAATGTTATGATCAAAGATTTGCTGTTTTGGTTACACTCTATCAATAAGTTACCTTGTGCAAAGAGTTATACCTAGAAGAAACAATCAAAACTTGAGCTAGCCAGATGTCATATGTTTCTCGAATTGATTTTAAACACCAATAAACTATGTTCCCATATCTTCTTTACTTCACAATATATGAAACCACATTTGTAGAATAACCCACCTTCGTATGGGATTTACATGGTTCTATTGGTCAATCGAACCCCCTACAGATCAAAATAAGCAATATTTTAATATGCCATTAACAATATAATGAGAAGTTAAGAAAATTGGTGAGCATGATAACCTCTGTTTGATACTAATTAGCATGATCACCAATGCAAAAAGCTGGAATAAATTTCTGATTTAAGTGCCATATCTTGAGAATTTGTGCCATAAAGAAGCAAAATTAGACACCCATTAACAATATAATGACAACTCAAGAACATTGGCAAGCACATTAACCTCTGTTTGATACTAGATTTTTATTAAGGTTGTATATTAATGATTAATGAAACTGGGATGGGTTTGGATTGATTAAAGTGAAAATAAAAAAAAGAAATAAATTGGTTTACTCCATCCGGCTTCCATATGAGTGAGATATGGTTGAAACTCCACAGCCTCGTAAATCAGTCAATTTTTGTTGGATTTTAATTAGCACCTATTTGATGGAATTTATTCTGGTGATCTCAATAGTTTATAGTGTTTCTTTATCATTTCTTGATATGGTACTCTAAAAAATTCTAGTTATTATCGTCAATATTTCTTGGTCTTTTGTATGTGTTTTTGCTTTTATATGCTTTGTTATTGAAAACATGATGGATAATGAAGACCTTGAAATGTTTGGGTCTTTTTGACATAGGTATGGAATTGTATGATGAATCAATGAAACCCAAAAAATCGAGGGTTAGTTGGAAAGAGAATGTAGTAAAAACATTCTTGGAATGTTGTCTACAAGAGATGTCCATGAATGGAATGCAAGGCGGTAGCCTTAAGATGCACTCATGGAACAATATAGCAGAAACATTAAAAAGAACTCACAACTTCATTGTCAATCAAAGACAAATGAAGAATCACTATGATTATTTACGAGGGAAATACGCTGTATGGTCTAGACTTAGGAATAAAACGGGCAATGTTTATAACCCAACAAACAACACATTCAATCTATCTGAAGAGGAGTGGAAGGCAGAGGCAAAGTCAATTCTTTTTCTGGTTTTCTAATTTAATTTCCTTATATTTTTCTTTTAGTTATATGTTTTTACTTTTTTTTATATATACAGTTGAGTAAATATGCTGATAAGTTGAAGTACAATGGGGGCTTCTCAAGACAATGGATATATGGCTAACCTGCGAGATCAGATTGCGACTCAACTGTTTTCAAATGCTTCAAATTAGTTTTTATTATCTAGGATTAAAAACAAACAATTTCTTTTGGTATTAACGTTTCATATCCCGTTTATATTTAAGTATGAACGACTATTAATATATTTTTCTATTTAATTTGAAGTATGAAAATTATATTTTTTTTGTCTTATTTGATAGATAACATGTGAAAAGAAGTAAAATGGTATTATTTTTATTGGTAAACATTTATTTAAAATATGCATTTTGTTTTTTTTCTTCCATTAAACTATTAATAACAAAAATAATCATATATTATTCAATATATAATTACAAATAGGGTTATAATGGTCATTATATTTTTGGTAAGCACTTACCAAAAACATTTGGTAAACAATCTTACCCGGGACAGCACTTACCGGGATAGCACTTACCCGGGTCAGCACTCTTACCCGGACAGCACTTACCCGATAAGATTTGGTAAACAGCCCCTAAGGGTTTGTTTACGTAAATGCTTATCCGGTAAGTGCTTACCGATAGGAGTCAACACTATAACTTATTTTGATGCGTAAGATTTTAGTACATCAAAACGTATCGAATGCAACAATTTACAGGGTAAACGCTTACCCGGGTAAGAGTCGTCATCTTCACTTACTGGGTAAGACTCTCCATATTTCTCATCGCTCTTACCCAGTAAGATTCTTGGTCTTTATCATGTTCATCCGATGAGAAAATTTATCGAGTAAGCACTATTTTGTAAACAGCCCTTAAAGCACCTCCTAGCCAACTAGGCTAATAGGTGAGAGACAGAAAGCGTATAAATTGCAAACCACGGAATCATGATTTGTGAATTTATAATTATTTTGAAAAAAAAAGTCTTAAAGAACCCACTACGCTTTTCAATTATGAGTTATTAAACTCTTGGACAACTTTTTTAAACATGTAAATTCTTGAACTTTCTAAAGCCAGTTAGATACACCATTTTGACAAAAAAGAATTATGTAATCGACTAGACAGGTTAACTAGTTTTAAAATTAAAAAAATAACCAACCCACCTAAATCGACTAAACCATATCCCACCCCCAAATTGTATCCCCATCGCCGTCGCCATTGTCCCCAACTTTCTACTGCCTTGTTATCCTTAGCGATCTCCGACATCTTCTGCCCAAGCCATCTATGTTGTTGTTACCGTTGCCTTGCCATCTAAGATTTAGATTTTATTTTTCTCTATTTGTATGCTCATCTCAAATTCGCTTGTTTCAGTTGAGTACCACAATAATGTCTGTTTCATCTGTCTTTCTTTTTCTATGTCTGTTTAGTTATCTGGCTTGATGACCCTGGTTATTATGTAAGTTCACATGAAGTTGAGGTTGTTGATGGCAATGAACGTGATGTTATTTAGGAACGGATACATGGCGGTTAAATGGTCATACCTTAACCAACGATTGATAATGCAAGTGAAGAAAAGGTCATGCTACAACCTTCAATTCTTCTACGACCACAAATTCCCGAAAAAAGAGAAGATGAAATCAGAAAGAACAATCAAATCAAACTCAGCAAAAGTGTATATGACAAGGATGAAGGTGGATCTGTACAAAAGGCACAAATATTAATATTTTTTTTAGTGTGATGGACACATCTTTTGGTATATTTGCTAAATGAGATAACAACAATTTTTGGTACATTTAGGGACCGTTTACCCAAATGCTTACTCGGCAAACACTTACTGATATGAATCAACACTATCATTTATTTTGATGCGTAAGAATTTAGTACATCAAAACATATCAAATGCAACAATTTACTGGGTAAACGTTTACCTAGGTAAGAGTCACCATTCTCACTTACCGGGTAAGAATATCCATTCCTTCTCATCGCTCTTACCCGGTAAGACTCTTGACTCTTCTCATGTTTATCCGATGAAGAAATTTATCCGGTAAGCACTTATCAATTAAGTGTTTAGTAAACGACCCTTAGGCACAAATTTTATATGCATTTATTATGTTGTGGACACAACTTTTGTATGATTTAGAATCACTAATAGAAATTACATATTTATTTTTATTTTATTGGTTTCGGTTAAGGAACTATTTAATTAGATTTGTAAAGTCGGGGATTTATTATTTAAAAAAATGTTTGGGAACTTAATCGCTCAAATGTTGGGTTTATTCGGACTTATTCCAAGGATTTTGTCGTATTAACCGTTTTTTGTTAAAATGATGTATTTAACCGATTTTAAAAAGTCCAAACATTTATTTGTTCTAAGTATCGTCAAAGAACTTAACCACTAAAAAACAGAAAGTCCGTTGGGTGTTTTAATTACATAATTTATTTAAAAATAACTTTTTGTTATAGATGAAATAAGTAAAGTGATAAACTGAATTTTTATTGATGATTTTAGTGTCGTTACATTTTTGTGTGGCTATGATTTACAAACAGATCGATGACATTTTAGTTAAGTTATGATATAAGTTAGAAGGTGTGAAGTATACACTTATATAATTTAACTTAAAACCTACAATCGCAATAAAGCGGAGGTTAAGGGGGTCGTGCCCCCGTTTTCCTCCTTGTCAACCTTTTAACGAAATAAAGACAGTGGTTCAAATTCGTAACAAAATTGAAACCATAGAAATGCTATTTAGGTGGTGTTTGAGCCTGCCCAACGGATTTCTTGAGTGTTCGAGTTTATTTATGGCATGAAACAACCCGTAGCATGGGTATTCGGAGGAATAAAATAAAATTGTCTTTCGGAGAGATGGCTGAGTGGTTGAAAGCCTTATTTGAAACAACTTATGATTTTCTACAAAAGCACTTATCAACTTATTATAAGTCAAAAGAGTTTAACTTCTTCAATAGCTTCTTATTACCGGTTTGACGTCGATATAAGTTGTATACTCAAACACTCAAAAATATTTATTACTGGTACCACAACAAAATAAATCAATAAATTATTTTTATAGGCAAACCCCAAACACCCCATAATTTTTATACAACTAAAAAAAAAAAAAACAACCATGATTGCAAACTTGCAACCAAGTGTATCAGTTTGTCATCATATATTCATATGGACCAAAAATGGAGACTTTTTCAGGCAAAAGCCACCCCTTCCCTTTCTCGTAATCTGAAAAGACAAAACTAAACTCCTTGCAAACACCACCAAATCTCAACAAACAAAACCCTAAGTCATCGTCCTCCAACACCACTCTCCAAGATTTATCTTCTTCGATTTGGCATTTCCATTTTCCATTCTGCTACCAACCACCATGGACGCAGATTTAACACCGCCTCTGAAGATTCATCTTCCCACTTCATTACCAGGTTCTTCTGTACCCATTAGAGCTCCCCTCACCATTGATTCAGATTCTGAGTTCTGTTTATCCATTAACGAGCAGATATGCTCAAGAGCTAGCAGCTTTAACAGCAGTAGTAGTATTGATGTTAGTAGCTGTGGCGGCGATGAGCATGTTAGTTTTCTTGAAGAAGATGATGGTTTTGTAGCGTACCCAGATGAAGAAATGGTGATAGAAAGCTGTCGTGTTGAAGAACATTCATTTACTAGGCCTTTTGTGAAATACCCAGATAAAAATTATGTGAAAAAGAATAGGGATTTTGATATATCTGCCATTTTTAGGCCTTTTGTGAAAATCCCACTTGAAGAAAGTAGTAGTGCGGTTGAGGGATTTAATGGACCAGGTGTTAATGATTTTGGTATCTTCTCCCCTGTAAAACTGGGTATACCTGTTGCTCCTTTGACCATCGATTGTGATAGTGACAAGGATTCCGTTGAAAGTCACCGCAGTTTAAGTTCCGATGGGATTCCGGCTGATGAGACTGTGCAGAAGGTTGCTGTGGCCCCTAAAGTTCGAGTCTTTTGTAGTTATGAAGGAGATGATAAGTTGCAGTTTGATGATGTGTTTTCCGGCGATGATATCCATGGATCGAACGAACCCATTAAGGGTTATGTTTCATCCAAAACGATTGAAGAAGATGAACATGAGATTGAGGGTTTGAATGAGGTTGTGAAGATTTCAGAAATGGATGAAATTGGACTCTTATGTCTTGATGAACAGAAGAAGGGAGATGAAGATGATAGAAGGTTTGATTCAGATATCGTCCCAGATTCAGACAATGAAATTAGAATCGAAAACGAAACCATCGATGGAAGTGAACATGAAGGTGTATTTGATTGTTATAGAAACGAAGAATCCAAGAAAAACAGCGAAAACGAAGAACAAAGGAAGGAAGACGAAGATGATATAAGCTTTGATTCACAGAGAAGTGATGGCCAAATTGTCTCAGATTCAGACAACGAGATTGAAATCGAAACAATCAATGGAATCGAACAAGAAGGTCGATTTGATTATTATGTAAATGAATCCAAGAAAACGAGCAAAAAGGAAGAAGAACAAAGGGAGGAAGATGAAGATAATATAAGCTTTGATTTACAGAAAATCGATGCCCAAATTATCCCAGATTCAGACGATGAGATAAAAATCGAAACTGTCAATGGAATCGAACAGGAAGGCGTGTTTGATCGTTTTAGTGAATTCCAGAAAACACTAGGCAAAAACGAAGAAGAAATGCTGGTGAAAATGCAGCCGATTCGAGCAAAGTTTCTAAAACTTGTCCGTCTTCTTGGTTTATCAAATGAAGATTCGACCGTCGCACAGTTGCTGTACCGACTCACACTCGGAAAACCGTCTGTCGTGGAAGCCGACGGAGAACACTGTTCCGACGAGTTTGACTTCTCTTTGACCATTTTAGTGATAGGAAAAACGGGTGCGGGTAAAAGCGCAACCATAAATGCCATCTTTGGCGAAAACAAAGCCTTGACGGACGCATTCCGTCCGGGCACGACCACTGTGCAAGAAATCGTTGGAAAAATAGACGGAATCCGAGTTAGAATCCTTGACACCCCTGGCCTCTGTGATTCACCCTCTGAGCAATCCTATAACTGGAAAATTCTGGCGGCGATAAAAAGATACACACGAAAACGCAGCCCGGATATCGTGCTCTATGTTGATCGGTTAGACACGCATTCCCGCGACCTTAACGAATCACATCTTCTACGGTCGATCACGAGTTCCCTTGGTTCTTCGGTGTGGCAGAATTGTATCGTTGTCCTTACTCATGCAGCGAATTCTGATGCTCTTCCTGATGAGCCATCAGCCGGATTTGTGTTCCAAAGATGTCAGTTTATACAAGAACAGATCCTTCACTTCCGAGCCACCAATCAAAAAGCAGCCAATCCGGTGTGGCTCGTTGAGAACCAGAACCACCGGAGTTATAAACATGACCATAATTGGCAAACTCGGTTTCTTTTGTTATGCTATTCGGCTAAGATCTTACATGAGGCTAACTCTGTGGTTGAACCATCTTTGAGTTCTTTAGAACGCAATTGGTTTGAGTTCAGTAATCGTTTAGGTCACGTTATTGATCTGGATGCTGGATCGGAGAGTTTAATGGGTTCGGATCAAGTTCAGTCCGTTGAGCCTTTGAACAAGCCACAGAATGGTCAAAAGCTTCTCAGGGAGCGTAAGAAGGCCTATTTCGAAAACTACGATTATCGTGTGAAGGTTTTTGGAATGAAACATTGGTCTCTTCTGTGTCGATTGCATATTTAGATGGTACGATCGTTGATATTTAGCGTATGGAAATTCGTTTTCCGAATTCGGGTTCGGAGATACCGAAGATCGATAGGCATTTTAACTTTGGACATAGATTCCGCTAGAAATAGGTTGGTTTATGTCGATTAAAAGATTAACCATTGATTTGTAGCTTGATTAATCAAGTTTTAGGCAGAGAGAGTTATGGTTCCATTTCGGTCATTGTCTCCGAGAAAGTATATACTATAATTAAGTGGTCGTTTACCAAATACTTACCCGGTAAGTGCTTACCATGGTAAGAGTCGTCGCCTTCACTTACCGGATAAGATTCATGGTCCTTGTCTCGTTCTTACCGGGTAAGATTCTTGATCCTTACCATATCCATCCTATGAGGTAACGTGAAGTGGTAAGCGTTTGGTAAACGGTCCCTAAGTTCAGTTTCTAATGATAATTATAATTAATAATAAAATATATATACTACATCCGAGAGATTTACATTTTCGGTCCTGGTAAAAGATAAACGAAGGTTGAAAAGATGGAAATACCGTTTGACTGAACTGAGTTAACAAAATCGTTTAGAGTGAATGAGGGTTTAGAGCCTGTAATCTCGAAAACCATAGATACCGAATGCATTTGAGGGACCTTACTCATGCAAGCAAAATAGTACAAGGACCAGAAAATTAAATAAGACATTTTTTTTTATTAACCTGGATATCTCGAGCCGACTAATCCCAAGACGACCACTTGTTTTGCAGATAGCCCGGAGTGACTGCATTTGAACCTCTATGGCCACAAGAGGATTTTTATTTCTCCTTGGATTTGAACCTGAGACCTCCTGATACTTCTGACCTTTGGAGTCAAGCTCAAACCAATCAGACACCACCCTTGTGGTTGTAATATATTATTGTATTAACGATGAAATTGATCAACTAATAATAACCGTGAATTATTAAATTAATACAGGGACCGTTTTCCTCATGTGTTCATCAAACATGGCTTATGCACATGAATACAGTAAACCAAAATTAAGCACCCACAGATATTTATCTGAAAGAGTTCAAAATAAAATAACTCATTTCTCACAACTCCGTGTCCTGCTGCTACTATAAGCACCCCTTGGTTCTCTCTCTACTAACAAGAACACCATTATCACAAAGAATTTTAAGTGTACCAGGTGACTCATGAAACAAGCTCAATGAGGTAGAACGTGAGAGTCACAATGTCAATTTCAGGGGGAGCATCAACGAGGAACTATGTGGCGGTTGATTTTAAGATGAGGTCCATGACGAGAGGTCGTTTGAAGGTTGAACATATACAACAATGGTCCAAGAGCTTAGTGAACAAGTTATGTGTTGACCAATTAAATTACAACCAAACATTATTGTATGACTTATCCAATAAGCCATTCAATTTACTAAGCCCATTAAGCCAATAACAAAACAACTCATCCTTTATTATAGATCCCATGAATTTATTTATATATAATATTTGTTTATTTTTAGTTTTTAAAAGAAAATAAAAAATTTAAAAAAAATGAGAGATCTGCCTTTTAATCGGACATAAACTAACCCAAATTTTGAGTAAACCATGACAAATACATTCAAGGGTTGTTTGTTTACCTCTATTTAGTTTCATTAAAAGGCATATTTTGAATCGTTAAGAGGTGAATTTTGTTTGGTAAAAAAAAGGTCTGCTTCTTAATGGTTCTAAAATCCTCTGAATAGTTTTGTATCATTGACATTCCTTAATCATTCAGCGCCATAATTTCATTTTTAAATAACCGCCAAATAATTATATTTTATTTTATACTATATCATGAGAGCCTTCTATACCAAACTATTTAACAACTGCCAAACAAATCTCTAAACTAAACGTAAATGTATTAAAAATTAAAATTAAAGATTAAAATTTTCATCAAATGAAAAACAAACAAGTAATTTGTCAATTTTGCCAAACGACCTCCTGTTTGCATTCCATCCATGGGAGTTAGAATCTAAAGATATCAGTACCAAGCGCAGAGAAACGCCCAGCTCTGCCCTTCTTTATTCGCTTATCCAAAGAAAAACCCCTCTCTCTTTCTTCCATGGGAAGCCGACTAGCTTTTGCAATGAACGAGAACATGAAGAACCAGTAGTAGTAGCCTCCAAACTCACTATTAAAAAGAACCAAATCATCTACAATGGCGATGCAAACTTCTCAAACCGTAAGTATTATAGCTATATGCTTATGTTTGCGTACACTGCTTCAGAGTTCACATATAAATTTATGAAATCTTGTGGCACTATCAACGAGTTTTAAAGGAGGGATTTTGTTAATTGAGTTGCATGCCAGCTGTTTGATTATATGTCTATTTGAATGCTGCAAATTACTCATGTTTGTGTGACAAGTTTTGGGATTTTTGACAAGGGTTTGTAATGGGTTTGTGACTTCTTCTTGATGACAATTGCTTTGTAGACTTCGGATAACATTGTTTTAGTGGAAGAGTCAGGCTCTGGTGTAACACCCTAGTTTCTTTTTTGCTAAATGTCATTCTTTTAGCCTCAAATACAAGATGTTATAAGTAAATTAAGTACTCTTAAAAGAGTCCAACAGCAGTAGCATTTATTAAAATATCATAATTATAAGGCAAGTAGCTTACAAAACAAAGCAAAGCATGAGAAATCAACATGAAATGATGAGTTGTAAGGGCTAGAAGTATGTGTTGGCAAGTTATTTGATGACTAAGCAAGTCTAGTAAGCATGACAAAGCAAGTTAGTTATGAGTTGTCAAGGCTAGAAGCATTTGTTGCAAAATTCATGATGACAAGCAAGAGCTAGAATCATGACAAATAAAAGCTAGAAGCATGATGTATCAAGATTCCTTTATATTAAGCATGATATGTCAAGATTATTTTATATTAAGCATGAGGTGTCAAGATTCTTTTATCCTAAAAAATGAGGTGTTAAACTATCATAAGAGTACAATTTTGGGAGCAAGAAGAACAAGTAGGTAATGCAATGTTGCCATTAGTTCCATACCAAAAAATAAGAAATCTCTCTCTTTATACCTAATCAAGCTTGAAGATAGGAATTAAGGGAAAAGCTAGGCATAATCAAGGTGAGTACTTATGACATTTATGAGGTACATACATGCTATATAAAAGAATTTATGCATTACAAGATATTTTGGCATGCTTGCTTTACATGAAAATGTTTTACAAGATATGCATGATGGCATGTTTTGATACTAGTATGTGTTTTACACCAAGGCATGAAAGTGTTTACATGTTATGATACAAGTATATGTTACACAGGCATTAAAGTTTTTACATGTTATGTATAACCATAAATATCCAACATACGAGATATTACAAGAAGGGACGTCTTGCAAACGGACCTTATGAGGCAGCCTTTATGGACCCGAGGGTTAGCAAACCTCAAGACAAGTATGGCATACTTACATGTTTCAAGTGAGATCTCAAAAGAATGTTTATGCATGATGAAAAGATTATTTTGTGCATAATCAAGAGTTGTAGTGAATTACTATTCACAAAATGTTAAGCATCATGAAAATTGTTTATTCATGAAACCATAACTACTCACTAAGCTATTAGCTTACATATCTCATGTATCTCAGGGAAGGAGTAAAGAAGGATAGCATGAAGAAGTTTGTTCTAATCACTAGCAAAATTTTGTTGTACTATAAGCTATATAGTTACGTTTCTGCTAGTGTTTGAACTTTGTTGTAATTATAAGCTAAGTTATAAATAAAGTTAAATTTCAAGTTCATATTCAAGACTTAATAGTATCAATAAGAAACAAAGTAGGTATTGGGGTGTTACAAGTTGGTATCAGAGCATTAGTTTAAGTGAACTAAGATTGCCTTAGATTAGGTAACTTAGACTTAAATCAAGGAGGATAACATTGCGTATTAAAGCATTATATTCAAAATAACTAACATATATATGAACTCTATCAAATTATTTCACTAATTTTTTATCCTGGTCGATTTAACCATATGGGATAGTGTCTAGAAAGGTTGATCCGGCTGAGTTTTTGACTTCAAAAACAGAAGTCGCAGATTATAATTGCACCAAACAAATCCTAGCTCCCGTGATACCGGCCTAGCTATTTCATATTGGTAGTCAGATGGATTAGCAAGAAGTGTTGATCTTATTAAAATAAAAGAGTTGTGGTGTAAGAGAAATAGATTACAAACTCACATAACCTTAAAATCTTAAGACTTAAGAATTCATACTTTGATGGAATACTTCACTAAGAGTTTGTTCTTCGATGAAATACTTTAGTAAGATATCCTTTATTATGTTGGAAAATGGTGATCAAATATCAGCTAGTTGAGTAGTATGTGGGATGACAATTAAATGATCATGCTGAGCAAGATTAGCAAATTTAGTGTATTAGTCTCAGTTGTACTCAGTATTGTCCATATCATAGTAGCCATTTTTGATATATAATATCAGACTATGTTAATAGTTAATATTATTGAAAGTAAATAATTCAGGTCAGACTTATTATTAAAGGTGTTATACAACTATGATACAAGACTATGACACAAAAAGATGTTTGGGACATATGTATTGTCATTTTTATCATCAAGAAAGTCTAGAAGGAATGGTAGAACAACGCTCAACACTAAGCATGTCACGAATGAGGCCATACAACCAAGTGTTTATGTAGGCAAAAGCTAAGGTGAACCCAAGGTTAAACATCGAGGTAGAAGCTAAGATCTAGGAGCAGTAAACAATAATGAAATTTTGTAAATTTGTAAAGGATTTTGTTATGGATAAGGATTTCAAATCATAACCAAAGGATGTAATATGTGAGAAAGAGAGTGATTAGCCATCTAAAGAAATAGGCCAAGAGATCAGAGTTGAGTTATCCTCTATGCAATAAGTCTAACAAAAGACACTTGTGAGTATGACAAGTAGGTGGCATAAGGTTCAACACGTATGTTAAGCCATGACACTTAATAAAACAATATAAGAAGATGCACTTGCTATGAATGTTGTATGATGGGCATATAAGATGAAGTTGTCCCAAGCTTTAGTAGAATTCAACAATGGTCTAGATATCGACATAAGGAAGTTCAATTGAAAAAAAAAGAGGAACCAAAGGCAAAGGACAAGGCATATGTCATGATAGCAGACAAGGCCTAAGGAATCACCAACATGTGTTTATTGGCAATAATTATTGTACCCTAGTTTTATTCGATTCAAGTACATCTAGAAGCTTTGTTTCAACTACTTGAATATAAGAGCTAAACACCTAGAATAAGAGTAAGGTACTAATAATCATTGATGGTGGTCAATCAAAGGTTAATGAGATTCTTGAGGATTGTTCGATCAATCTAAATGGTAAGAATTACCTAGTTAAGTTGATGTGCTCAGGAAAAAGGTGATATAATATCAGAATGGTTTCGTTGTCAAAGAATGACGCAGAAGTGGTGTTTGAAAAGAATACGATTAGGATACAAACCCTGAATGGAAAATCAGTACATGTGTATAATGTTAGATGGATAGGTGAAATAGGAACTATCTCACGTAAGATCAAAGTAAGACATGAAGGGACCGACATGAAGAGATATACTTCTTATAGTAGCAATTATACGTGTTAGGCTATTGAACTATTGTTAGAATACTTCCGCAAATGTAAAGTTTATGATATTATTTTTTGGGTAAAGGAAGTTTATGATATTATTGTGTCAAACTAAGTTGGAATGTAAGTATGACATAGCAAGTTATAAGATATTTTGAGTTTGCAGATATTTAAATGTTAAAGAATAGAAGATAGTTGGTGACTTATTTGATGTCATGGAAACGAGGTCGAAGAAATCTCCGTTGATGATAAACTTAAAATCGTAGAAGAACCCATAGCTATCACTGAGCATAAAATTAAGAAACTTCGAAACAAAGAGGTATCATTGGTATTAGTTCATTGGGACTATTCTCATGGATTAGAGGCAACATGGGAAGCCGAGTCAGAAATGAGGAATAAGTACCCACATCCTTTTGAGTAAAGTTTCGAGGACAAAATTCTTATAAGAAAGGGAGAATTGTAACACCCTAGTTTCTTTATTTGCTAAATCTCAATGTTTAAGCCTTAAATACAAGATTTTATAAGTAAATTAAGTACTCTTAGCAGAGTCCAACAACTGTAGCATTTATTAAACTATCATATTTATAAGGCAAGTAGCTTACAAATAGCTTACAAGGCAAAGTATGAGAAATCAAACATGAAATTATGAGTTGTAAGGGCTAGAAGCATGTGTTGGCAAGCTATTTGATGACTAAGCAAGTCTAGTAAGCATGACAAAGCAAGCTAGTTATGAGTTGTCAAGGCTAGAAGCATGTGTTGGCAAAATTCATGATGACAAGCAAGAGCTAGAAGCATGACAAATAAAAGCTAGAAGCATGGGGTGTCAAGATTTCTTTATATTAAGCATCATATGTCAAGATTCTTTTATATTAAGCATGAGATGTCAAGATTCTCTTATCCTAAAAAATGAGGTGTTAAACTATCATAAGAGTACAATTTTGGGAGCAAGAAGAACAAGTAGCTAATGCAATGAATTTACCTATAAATAGTGATTGAAGTGTTACCATTAGTTCCATACCAAATATTAAGAAATCTCTCTCTTTATACCTAATCAAGCTTGAAGATAGGAAATTAGGGGAAAAGCTAGGCATAATCAAGGTGAGTACTTGAGATTTATGAGGTACATACATGCTATGTAAAAGTATTTTATGCATTACAAGATATTTTGGCATGTTTGCTTTACATGAAAATGTTATACAAGATATGCATAATGACATGTTTTGAACAAGTATGTGTTTTACACCAAGGCATGAAAGTGTTTACATGTTATGATACAAGTATGTGTTACACAAGACGTGAGAGTTTTTACATGTTATGTATGACTATAAATATCCAAGTACGGGATATTACAAGAAGGGACGTCTTGCAAATGGACCTTATGGGGCAGCCTTTATGGACCCGGGGGTTAGCAAACCTCAAGACAAGTATAACATACTTACATGTTTCAACTGAGATCTCAAAAGAATGTTTATGCATGAGGAAAAGATTATTTTGTGCATAATCAAGAGTTGTAGTGAATTACTATTCACAAAATGTTAAGCATCATGAAAATTGTTTATTCATGAAACCATAACTACTCACTAAGCTATTAGCTTACATATCTCATGTATCTCAGGGAAGGAGTAAAGAAGGATAGCATGAAGAAGTTTGTGCTAATCAATAGCAAAATTTTGTTGTACTATAAGTTATTGAGTTACGTTTCTGCTAGTGTTTGTACTTTGTTGTAATTATAAGCTAAGTTATAAATAAAGTGAAATTTCAAGTTCATATTCAAGACTTAGTAGTATCAATAAGAAAGTAACGGCACCCGAAGCAGGAATTGGGGAATTACATCTGGAACCGCTAATTTAAAGCATTGGTGCACTGGCACAGTGCTGATTCTACGTTCTATATGAACTGAAAAATGAAAAACTGATAGCATCCTTGGAGTCTACTTGTTAAAAAGGGGCATAAACTGTCATGAGAATGCAAAATTGTTTTTAGACTGTTTATAGTTTAATTTACAATAGTAGTAATGAAAACATTGATGCTTCTTGAATGTTCATAGAGCTTAAGCTAACTATGTGGTTATTGGCTTATGAGGATTGGGTTGCATGCCAACTGTTTGATTATACATGTACTTAAAGAAGGTTGTGAAATGGTCACCTCTGTGATATTCTGAGTGCATGTACTTTGACACAAGCTTGTAGTAAGATTGTGAGACCTAATCCATGTGACAGTCTTTTGGACATACCATTGATTTTAATGAATTTTCAGAGTCTTGCTTTTTTTTTGTAGAATATGTGCACCATTAACTGGAGTGGGTGAGCAAAATAGGTGGAATGGGACGGATGGGGTAATATTTTTGTGGATAATTACTTCTAAGGTGAGAAGAAGCAGAACGTGAGGCGCTATTAGCTATCACTGTCGGGCTGGATTCAAGAACAAGGCATAAAAACCAGTAAAATATGTGCCACCTACTCCAGAAAATTTCCTTGTACAAGTTCATATCATGTACTTTGATCTTCAAAAAAAGGTTGACAAAACGAACCAAATTTGACCGTCTTTAAATGTATTTTAAGACACAAAGTGTGCACTAATGCTTCCAGTTCATATATATCTTCATTGATTGACTTGTGTACACTGTGGTCAGTGCTCTAAAGGATTCTTTACTTGTTCCCTGAAACCCAAATTGCAATTTTAAACGGGAAAATAATTTAAGGTGTAGGGCTGTAGATAAAGTTGCAAATGTGGTGGACCGATTGTGTCATAATGCTTCATATAGTGGGAACCTTATCTATTTTATGTATCCATATATTTTTGTTTACACGTTTTATGTTCTTACCATATTTTTGGAAATATAGGTTCTTATTAGGTATCTTACTATTATAGGAAATTTGGGTTCTTAATAAAAATTTGATTTCATAGTTCATTCTTATGTTTAGCCTATACAAAAGCCATATTTGTAGTCTTTTTCAAATTCTATTTAATACTATCTGATAAAGAATTGATCCATATTTGATTCTCTTCAAATATTATATTCGTCAGTAGGTCTACAAATTAGTTAGCTGATTGAACCTTTCTGTAGGCAATGCAATTCATTAGTGTCTGGCTGATAAAAGAAAAAATTTAACCCAATGATCCCATGTAGATATCTAATGTAGGCACTTCCTGTTAATAAACTATATCCACTAGCAGGACGACTGTAGAGGATCCTTCATGGGTCTAGATATTTAGGTGCATGCTATAATTTAAACAACCTGCAATAAACTCACCTCCCAACTTTGGCATTAGATCTTTATTGTTGTTTTTGGCAGATGGTATATGTTAATTCCTTGGCACAAGATAATCTAGTTAGTGCAATTTGTGTGAAAGGTGAACTTTTTAAACTGTGTGCAATTTAGGTCATGCATAACTTGAGGTCATACATAAGTTACTGTAAATCAGTAAATGATAAAATCGATAAGCATGGTCAAAACATAAAAAAGGTGGTCTTGCGTTCAAAACTTTCTTCCCTTTAGCACTAATGAAAAGTAATGTCAAGTAACCCTTTCTTGTTATTATCTTTAACATGTTGAAATATCTGTATGCATGTTTTAGATCACAATCAAGGAAAATTTATTTGATGGTTCATATAATCTTTGTTAGGCTTTTTGAAAGTCGAATTTCATATTCTTTCTTGATGCATTCATAGTATTTCACTAATCTTGTCCTACAAAACTGTTCAGGTTCTGTCATTTAGAAGTTGCTCATCATTTACAAAGTCATCTTTTAGCATAATTGATTTTCGAAGATGCTCTTCCATGGATCTCTCATCTCTCTTCCATTTTACGTATTGCTATATTTATCCTAGGAGTGCCTTTTGCACTCTGTCAAAGCGAAGGTCTCGTGGACCTGTTATGGCTGCCAAGAAAGAATCCAAAGGTACTCACATGATTACAACTTTTTAAAGCGATTTTGGGGAGTAGGCCAGGGCTGGTGATTCAAGACTACTTCTAGAACAATTGAGGGTGAGACTGCAAGTGAGGTTAGGATGATGGTTCCTGTATGAATTTAATCAATGCTGATGGATTATTCCATCTGAGCTACAAGCTAAGTAGTCAGCAAACCATTATAGTACAGATGGATAACCCAATATAAGACCAAAATTGTCTCCTGATAAGTTCTTCCGGAGCTTCTCCTGATCATTTGGTCTTTAACTGATTGATGTATTCCATTGTTTAGGAACAAAGCAAGGAGATGGAAAGTACAAGCATACTGTTGACCTTCCCAAGACAACTTTTGGTATGAGAGCAAATTCTGCTGTAAGGGAGCCTGAAATCCAGAAATTATGGGATGAAAACCAGGTCTTTAAGAAAGTTTCTGAAAAGAATAACGGGGTCAGTTCTGAAGCTTATTTGAGTTCATCTTTTGTACTACAAAGTTCCTATCCCTAGTTCTATCTGATATTGCTTCTGCTTTTAATAGGGAAGTTTTATTCTTCATGATGGCCCTCCATATGCTAATGGTGATTTACACATGGGACATGCATTAAACAAGATCATAAAGGATATTATCAACCGGTATAAGGTATGGTTGCAACATTCACTTTGCACTGTGATATTTGAGACACGCGACAGAAAGATGCACTTAATGTGATTCTGCTTACCATCTTTTCTCATTTGTAATTTAACTTGTAAATAGAAGGGTTTTGTTAGTGTCCATTATCTAACCATTAGTCACATTATTTAAGGTTTTCTGTTATGTTTACTGTTTCCATTCCATGGTTCACTATGTACTTAATTTAAATGGGGTCTCATCCATTAGTAGTATATCAATTAATTCCAAGTTGTATATCATATCAGATCCTAGGTATGATATAAGGAAAAACCTAGCCCCCTCTAAATCTCCACCGCCAAGACCTTACCCTGTGAACCACCCAATTACCTCTACAGTTGGCTGCATGATGACAGCCGCTACCGCTTGCTTGTTCAATGCGACACCAGCAAATCTCTCACCTCCGCCGCACCATCACTGGGACCTCCATAACATTTGTATTAAATATCCCGTTTGGAACTAGCTAGGTACTTCCATTTCATCTGGAATCTTGTGCAATCACGTCTATGATAGGTGGCTACTCTATTCCTAGAAATCTGCAAGAACTTCTGCATCCAAGATGACACAGAGCTGCAGGTTGAGATGGATGCACTACATAAAAAGCTTTTGGAATCTTTCTGGTTGTTCACAGTGAAACTTCAGGGTTCTCTTCACAGACTCAAGTTTTGTCTCATCGTGAAAGGCTATTATCATGCCTACAGAATTCACATGAGAGGCATCTCCTGTAGCGAAAAAAACTGCATTAGCCAAATTGCAGCTTCTAGAAATTTGATACAGATCATTTACAACTTTAACATGTTGATCCCTGTGTACTGTTGCTTTACTTCTATAATTGCATCTAGTTTAATCGTTCCAATATATGGTCAGGAAATTGCTCTCATTCTGTGTTTTGGATAACAAGTAAATCATACCTAACCTACATGGAACTGCCTGTTCTATTAAATGTACCAAGGACTGTCTAGATGTTATGATGTGACTTTGTAAGTAATGATACAATACAGATGATGAATATGTATCTGAACCTCCGTTTATTTTTGATTTTTGCTTTTATAACAGCTTCTTCAAAATTATGAAGTTCATTACATTCCTGGTTGGGATTGCCATGGTCTACCGATTGAATTGAAAGGCAAGTGATAGTTTGTTGCTGGTTTCTTCAGTTTAAATTTTCTGGTTCATGATCTCATTGTGAGACGTGTTTTGGTGAGTGTGTCATACTCCACTTGTGGTTTAAGAATATTCAACAGGGCAACATACAAGACTTATCTTGTCAAGCACTCTTGGTTCATAGATTAGAATGAGCAGCCGCCTTACAACTGCACACAATATGTTAAGTATGAAGAATATTATCGGTTGCTAGACTTTAGGTTCTGCAAAATAAAATCTGGTTGCCATATATTTAAGTTAAAGCGTGAAATGCTTTTATCTTGGTTTGAGCTGTATGTATTGCTATTAGATTGCGAAGGGATATATCTTGGCTTCTAGCTTTAACTATGGGTAATTTTCTGGTGAATTATCTTAGTATTGCAGTCATTGGACCAAGATGCCCGAAAGGGGTTGACACCAATAAAGTTGAGAGCAAAAGCAGCTAAATTTGCCAAAGCAACTGTGAAGGCGCAAATGGCATCTTTCAAGGTCAGTTTAAGCAATTAATCCACCAAACTGAGAGCGCGACATTTAAATTATGTTATTGTTATTTCACATATTTCCTCCATATAGTCGAATACTTATTTACTTGTGAAGTATTTATGTTTTGGTTATGTATATATTTCATATTGTCATATCTTCGGCTAATGATCTGCTTATTTGTTATCATTATTAACGAAGAATAGAATGTAAGTATCTATACTGTCTGTGAACAGAGATTTGGGGTTTGGGCAGACTGGGATCATCCTTATCTCACTCTTGATCCAGAATATGAGGCTGCTCAGGTAACGAGGCCAAATTTTACAGTTCTTAGTGAATTTATTTTAAGATTAGTATCACTACAGCTTCTAATTATTTTTGATGAATAAAGTATGTGAGAATTAAATGGGGATCTGGTAAGTCTCTTCTAATTAATTCCAAGGGTGTTGACCTTGTGGGTAAGGCTTCAACTTGGTGCGTTAGGACTCGGTTCGAATATTGAATACCACAGGTGTTAGCAATTTCTTAGGGCCACGCCTATTGGCCGGAAGGCCTAAAGCTTGCCTGGTTCATTTGGAAGGGGCACTTCCCATGGATTCCGTGTATTAGTTAGCCCAAAGGTACCATAGACCACCGAAGAAGAAACTCTTATATCTTTATCTTATTATACTCTGCAGAGTATTTTGTTGTTAAATAAATTTAGCCATTTCAGCAGATTTGTCACCTTAATCTAAAGAGATTTGGTTGCTAATTTAGTGGGATTAGTTTTCCAAATATCAGCTCAAAGTTTTCTCCTAATCTAAAGAGAAAGTCTCTCCTGAGTTATTTATTTTGGTTTTTTTTTTCTTCTGATTCTTGTTCCTAATAAAGTAGATTGGTGAGCTGCTCATCATCTAGAAATAGTGTATTCCATGGGTTGTACAAGTAAACGAATAAAGAATTGTTCATGACTTTTTTCGGACCATGCTGCTAAAAGCAGTGTGGCAATTCATTGTCATTGGTTCATTGGTTGTCCTGGAAATTCATTCATACCTCCTCCATATGCCATTTTAATTTTACTCATTGGGGCTTATTTTAGTTGTTCATGCTCATCTTGTAGTCCTAAGTTGAAGTGTTTGGCCGTAGAAAAATATGCTTTTCGTGAAATTATCTGTCTGGAGTAAATGGACATACCATGTTAATTTTTAACCTGTAAAATTTTCTCTTATCTTTTCTATGCTTTTATATACAAATCAGTTGGTGAAAATAATTTTTGTGCATCTTGTTTCATCTAGATTACATTGTGGTCTGAAAGGGTAATAATGATAAAAGTTGTAAGTTGCTCGTTTATTGCTATAATTGTTATTCTTTGATTCTTTTGCCTTTCTAGATTGAAGTGTTTGGCCAGATGGTTTTTAGAGGGTACATATATCGTGGGAGAAAGCCAGTGCACTGGAGTCCTTCATCCCGCACAGCTCTTGCAGAGGCCGAGTTAGAGGTAATTGGATCAACGGCCTCTTGTTTGGTTCTAATGTTGTGATATGGTCTGTCTTATGTCAGCTGTTCATTGTTCACAAAATGGCGTTATATCTATGTTTAAGAAAGGAATTCCAGATCTCCGTATTTCCATTCTTCTAGAGGACTCAAAGCGACACTTCTTTTATCTCGTCTGAGAGAACCCATGCGGTCCTTGGCAGGAAGCTTTGGTCATTGCTAAAGTTCCTTCTTTTCTGTAATTTTATGATTTTATCTCACTTTTTTTTCCCCATAAGGCTATTGCTGTACCATTATCACCTGAGTTATAAAGTATCAAATTGTAAGATAATCTTTTAGGAGATGTTGGCTCTTCACCTTTCCTTACTTTCTTGGAAGTTTCATGCAGTATCCTGAAGGCCATGTTTCAAAGAGCATGTATGCAATTTTCAGATTACTAAGTACTCCAACTAATGGTGGATTACTAGATGAATTTCTTCCTAGATTGTGCCTTGCAGTTTGGACCACCACTCCCTGGACTATTCCTGCCAACGCTGGTATGTGTCTTTATCATCCTTCTCAATTTATATACTATATGTTTTATCCGTGTTCTTTCTTCCCCTTTTCTGTTTACTGATGCGATAATGAATTAGTTGAGATGTTGGTATTGTGCCTTGTACTTGTAAGCATAACCCTATAAAGAACATGACATGTCATACTAACCAGTACTCATATCCAACTTCACGGATAACCTCCTTCATATATATGGATCATCAAGAAACTCTTTAAAGTGAGGATACAACTTCAAACATATATTATGAAGGAACCAACACTGTGATTCTTCAAGAAGCTAAGCTTGGATAGGATATCGGGGTCTTATATTTCTTCATAGGCTCACACACATCATGATGGTCTTCTAAACCCTTCGTATGGGATCCCATTATGTAAATCTTTTTTTTGGATCTGCTGAGAACCACTGATCATAATAATACACATAGACGACAAAAGTATCCATTTACTTGAATGGAAATTTGGTTATGCTCACTCTTACCATGTGAAATCTCTCAAGAACGCGTGAAAGAGGAGGAAAATTAACCCTGGGTGCATGCATAGGGGCATAAAAACATCCTCAAATGATTGATCTTTAAGGTATCCTCCTAAACAACAAATCTGGTGGCTGATTTAGAGAAAGTTGGTCTTTAAGACATCATGCAGAAAGCTGTTCTTAACATCGACCTAGGGAAGAGGCTAATGATGAATGGCTGTGTGAGCAACCAAAATGTGAACTAGACTGAAGGTATCTTCAATCAATGTTTTGGCAGCTTCTTAAAGAACCAGAGAGCCATCAAATTTATCTTTTACCTTATACACCCACTTACTAGTTACAAAATTTACGACCCATAAAGACCATTCCAGAAGGGAGGTGAGCCAAACCCAAATACAACTGGCTTGAGGAGAATCCATTCTCTCTTTTCTGCACTGACCAAGTAAATAGGAAGAAACAGTTGCAGATGACTAATAATCCATCTATAGCTCTAAGAAAACAGAGATTTAGCCTTGGGACTTTAGGAAACACAAGGTGACTTCTCTGTGGAGCTCCAGCAAGGGCCTAATAATTGTCAAATTGTTGTTGGGAATCACAGATTGATGCGATTCACATGAACATAGGTCCAATTGCCCGTGGCCTTGATCCTGCAGAATTAAAGTTGTGATGGGTAATTCGAGTTGTTCCAATGCGCTCTCCTTCTTCGTCCCTACCCCCATCTTTCTCTCCCAAACCACATGACCGGATAAACACATGTAACTAATACATGCACCTATAAATACACAATCCCTTGGATACAATCAGTTCTTTATCTGTACTTTCTTTTCTTTCTCAGCTGTTGCAGTGAATTCCAAGCTCCAGTATGCTGTTGTTGAAGTACAGTCCCTTTCACCTGATGCTGCTTCATCTTCCGAAGGTGGAAAGACGAGGCTTGGCAGTGTTTTGAAAGGCAATGAGAGACCATTTTTTATTGTTGCACTGGACCTTGTGCCAACACTAGAAGCAAAATGGTATGTGAAGCTTGCTGTTAAGAAAACAGTTCTGGGTTCAGATCTTGAAAATTGCAGGTACTTAATGACTTAATGTAGACAAACATGGTCTATCTCATGTTTGAATCAAACCGAATTACTTTTATTCAATTAATTATTGATCCAGTAATATTACATCTTTATCATGTGGTCACAGATATGCACATCCAATAAATGGCCAAGAATGTCCTGTTGTCATCGGAGGAGATTATATTACAACAGAATCAGGAACTGGGCTCGTCCACACAGCCCCTGGTCATGGCCAGGAAGATTATATAACCGGCTTAAAATATGGTTTAACTATACTGTCTCCAGTAGACGATGAAGGAAAGTTCACCGAAGAAGCTGGGATCTTTAGTGGGCTTGATGTATTAGGGGATGGCAATGCTGCTGTAATAGATTACTTGGATGAACGTTCATCAATTGTCATGGTAGAACCTTACAGTAAGTCACATCGTCATCTAGACAATCCAAAATGAAAGAATTTTTTGTTCAGCATGATACTATTGAAATGGTTTGATATGAATTTTAATTTAAAGGTCATTGTTTTTCTACATTTTAGAGCACAAGTATCCTTACGATTGGCGAACAAAAAAGCCTACAATTTTTAGGGCAACAGCACAATGGTTTGCGTCTGTAGAAGGATTCCGAGAGGCTGCTATGGATGCAATTAATCAAGTAACATGGACTCCATCTCAGGTACAAGTATATGTGGTTTGAAGTACTATTGTTCTTAAAACAGACCAGCTTTACGTCTTGTGTTAAGCCTCAGCTAAACACAGAAAACTAGTAATGTTTAGGGACTTTTTTTGGAAGGGTGTCCCAGGTTATGCTTGGACTAATCTCGGCAAATTGTGACTGCAAGAAATCAGCCCTAATAAACTCAGTGGCCACAATTGTTGTGTACACCTGGAACTGAACCCTGGGCAGATGGGATATTTCGCCACATCTCCCAGGACTTCAACCACTACACCACAACCCTTGTGGTTAATGTTTAGGGGCTTATGAGATAGCTAAGCCCCACTCATCCACTCTACATGAGTATTGGGACTTGTTAAAATCTATATGTTTTCCTCGTCCTTTCCGTATATGAATAGCTTGCTATGTATGATTTCATGTTGATTTGTAGTAGATTATCATTGTTGTAGCAATCATATTAGATGTGGAACACCTTTAGAGGTTTTTTGTTTAGTCCCCATCCGATATAGCTACATGCTAAAGTGTTATCGTGCATATGCAATTCCACACTAGAACCAAAGTATGGAACAACTAACAACTCCCTTTGCTTTAACAAGAATGGAAATGAATCAGGAACATAATCAAAAACCCAAAAGAAGATGGGAACATTATGATACAAACCAAGAATAATATCCATCAGCCAGGTAAATTCCAAACTAACAGTGATTCCAATCATCAGGTTGTTCAATCCTTATTAGCGTCACATGGGGATTCCACAATGTTCGAGATTAGTTCACTCCTTGTCGACAAAAATGTCTTGTTCCTGAAAAATAGCATTCAGCTCACATGGTTGGAACTTAGGAACATAGAACTCTTGATGGCTCTTCCTCACGAGTCACGACTCCCCTGTTCTCCCAGAAAGAAAATTTCATTTGAAATTCTGACAATTTTGAAAGAACCTCCATAACACTTCTTAGAATGGCATCAAGCATTCTTGAAGGGAACAGAACATGGTCTAGTCACTGGTGTACTCAGTGAGGTGGAACTGTTGGAAAATTTTCATCTGTACTCTTAATCTTTTTGTTCCATGTACTGATTTGACAATTTGTATAAAATCGATTTTATATGAAATAAACAGCTACATTCTTTTTGTAATCAGAGAGAACTAGGACCGAGATATTAGAGAGAATTCTCTATTATATGATTAATCAGAAAAAAATTCAAATTTACAAGAAGAGAGACACTATATATAGACATAATTACACGGGAAACCCTAACCCTAAACCCATCGGGCTTGGACACATTACCATAAACAGGTTACTTAATTAACACTCCCTCTTAAGCTGGAGCATATATATTGATCATGCCCAGCTTGTTACAAAAAGATGTGATTCAGTTCCCTGGTAATGCTTTGGTGAAGACGTCGGCTAATTGATTGCTAGTTCTGACATGACAGGTTGAAATAGATCCATCTTCAAGCTTTTCCCGAGTGAAATGACAATCTATTTCAATATGCTTAGTTCTCTCGTGAAATACAGGATTGCTTGCAATATGGATAGCTGCCTCATTGTCACACCATAAATTCATCGGTTTAGATTGATTAAATCCAATCTCTCCCAATAGATTATGCAGCTATATCAACTCACAAGTAGTTTGAGCCATTGCACGGTATTCAGATTCAGCGCTTGATCTTGATACAACATTATGCTTCTTGCTTTTCCAAGATACCAGATTCCCTCCCACAAAGACACAATAGCCTGTTGTTGATCGTCTGGTTGTAGGGTCTCCATCATAGTCTGCATCAGTAAACCCTTCTATGACATGACCATGGTTTTGGTACTTGATGCCATAACCAGGAGCTCTCTTCAGATATTTCAAAATATGGCAGACTGCATCCCAATGTGTAGTTCTTGGAGACGACATAAATTGACTCAATACACTTACCGGAAAGGCAATATCGGGACGCGTGATTGTCAGATAATTCAGCCGTCCCACAATTCTCCTGTACTTCTCTGGGTTCTCAAGAGGATCCACATCATCAGACTTCAGCTTTACATTCGGAACCATAGGAGCTTCACATGGTTTTGTGTCGATCATGCCAGAATCATGTAGTATGTCAAGGCAGTATTTTCGTTGAGATAGGCAAATTCCTTTGTGATTCCGAGATACCTCAATACCCAAGAAATATTTCAGTGGACCAAGGTCCTTAGTTTGAAATTGAGATGCGAGGAATTCTTTCAACTTCTTAATTCCATTCTCATCACTKYCYGTAATCACAATATCATCGACATAAACCACTAGCAGGATACATCCAGAATCAGWWGAAGTAAAGAAYACTRAGTGGTCATATGAGCTTCTTCGTAACCCAAATGTAGTTACCACARAACTKAACCGACCGAAYCATGCACGAGGTGATTGCTTTAGGCCGTATAACGACTTCCGTAATTTAYAGACCTTYCCAGACTCCCCCTGAGCAACAAACCCRGGGGGTTGCTCCATGTAGACTTCCTCTAGCAGATCGCCATGTAAGAAGRCGYTTTTCACATCTAATTGGTGAAGAGGCCAATTATAGGTAGCAGCTAGAGAGATGAAAAGCCGAATAGACGCCATCTTTGCAACAGGAGAAAAAATCTCAGAATAATCCACTCCATAAGTTTGGGCATACCCCTTTGCAACCAAACGAGCTTTTAACCGTGCTATCGAGCTATTAGGATTAACTTTCACAGTAAACACCCACTTACAGCCAATTGCTCTTTTGCCAGCAGGTAACTCTACCAAATCCCATGTGGTGTTATGATCAAGAGCATTAAGCTCATCAATCATAGCATCCCGCCATCCAGGATGAGTCAAAGCTTCTCCAACCGTAGATGGAATAGGTATAGAATCAAGGTTAGAGACCAAAGAACGAGATGACCTGGAGAGTTTATCATAAGAAACAAAGGAAGCAATAGGATACGTGCAGGAACATTTACCTTTCCGGAGAGCAATAGGAGCGTCAAGATCAGGATCCTCATTTACTGGAGTGGGTATAGAAGCTTCAAGAGGTACATCTTATGGGGATGGTGGATCTGCAGACTCAGATGATATTGGTGAAGACGGAGGAGGTCGTTCGCGCCTATTATATACATGAACAATAGGTGGTCTGGTTGCTTGAGTAGTGGACTCAGGAGTGGGTATGGTATACACCAACAAGTCATCATCTTTCTCATTTAAAGGAGTCAGTGGGGAATTGGGAAGAACGGCACGTTCTCATGGAAGGTAACATCCCGAGATACAATATAGCGGTTAAGATTAGGAGAGAAGCACCTGTAACCCTTTTGGAGACGAGAGTACCCAAGGAACACGCATTTCAGAGATTTGGGATCAAGCTTGGTGATAGTGGGGCGTGTGTCACGAACAAAGCATGTAACACCGAAGATCTTTGGCTCAATAGGGAATAATCGTTGTMYTGGGAACAAAACAGAGAATGGAGTTTCTCCATTCAGGACAACAGACGGCGTTCTATTGATAAGAAAACAGGCTGTTGATATCGCATCGGCCCAAAAAGACTTAGGGACGGACATCTGAAACAAAAGTGCTCGGGCAACCTCAAGGAGGTGACCATTTTTTCGTTCGGCTATCCCATTTTGTGTTGGAGTATCAACACATGAGGACTCATGAAGGATACCATTTTGCAACATATAGGATTGAATTTGTTGGGATACATACTCTTTTGCATTGTCACTTCGTAAGGTTTTAATAGATGTTTGAAACTGAGTTTGGATTTCAGAATGAAATGAACGTAAATGATTAAACACTTCTGAACGGTTTTTCATGAAGTATAACCAAGTAATTCGAGAATAATCATCTACAAACGTAACAAAATACTTAAAACCAGACTTAGACGTTACAGGACATGGGCCCCAGACATCAGAATATACTAATTGAAATGGGGACGCAGCCCGCTTATTGACTCTAGGACTTAAGTGAACACTTTGATGTTTGGCAAACTGACATGACTCACATTGTAAATACTGTAAATGGGAAAATTCAAGACACAACTTCTTGAGACTCTGTAAGGAAGGATGACCTAGTCAACAATGAACTTCAAAAGGAGATGATGAACTGGAACTTGCCAAGGAATATGGTTTGGGTGGTTCAAATATGTATAGGCCATTCGACTCCCGTCCTCTACCAATAATCCTCTTCGTCTGCAAATCCTGAAAGATACAATGATCAGGAAAGAATGAGACACTACAATTCAAAGTGCGAGTAATTTTGCTCACAGACAGTAAGTTAAAGAAAATTTTGGTAGGCTCAGGACTGAGGATAACGAGACAGATGGGGACAATTTAACAGTGCCAGACCCAATTATTTGGGAGACAGATCCATCAGCTACTGTGACTTGAGCTGAGGATGCATGTTTATTGATATTTAGGAGAAGGTGGGAATTACTAGTCATATGGTCTGAGGCACCTGTATCAATGACCCATTTGGAGGAGGATGATACAAAGCATTTGCCAGAGTTACCTGTCTCAACAAACATAGCAGTGGAAGCAGCAGGGTGCTCATTTACCAGATGAGGTTCCTCTTTGTGTCTCATAGCTGTGTCATCTGATGTAGTTGCAGCATGTGCTAAGGAGAGTCTCGATTTCTAACCTGCCGTTTCTTGCATTTAAACTTAGTATGACCAAGTTCATGACAGTAGTGGCACTCTACGTCTGAGTTAAAATCAGTTGGTAGATCATTGTGGCCTCCTCTAGTGCTACCCCTTCCACGATAGCCACCTCGAAAACCGCCACGGTATCCACCTCGGCTAAGTAAAGCCGAATTATGATCAGATGGTGGAGTAGGCTGAAAATCTTCATGTCGAAGAACCCGAGCAAGAGTCTCTTGAAGAGAAGGTATCACGGATTCATTTAAGAACTGAGATATGATGGAATCATATTATGGGCGTAAGCCAGGAAGCTTATAACAGCAATCTGTTCCCTTTGAGTCTGCATAGTTTTCACATCAGTACTCAATGGGAGAAGAGAGTTCATTTCCTCATATATCTTCTTGAATTCCATGGCATAGGCGGTAAGTGATCGGTCCTGTTGTTCCCCACGATGGAATGACTTACATATGCTGTAAATCCTTGAAATATTACTTTGTCCGGAGTACAGGAAATCAAGATATTCTATTAGCTCTTTCACATATTCACAGTGACTGATTAAAGTTGAAACGGAGGGCTCAATAGAATTTATAATTTGCAAGAACATACGGGCATCTTGTTGTAACCAAAGGTCACGATTACCCGTAGTGGGAGGGTTAGATTCCAGATGGGAAGTCATTCCCATACTTCGAACATACAAACGAATCGTTTTGATCCATTCGAAGTAATTGTTACCATTAAGCTTGTTTTCAGTAACTTTACTACTGGCTGAAATTATATCAGGAACACAGTACTACCGGAGGCTTATCATCAGTGTTCGTCATATTAATCAAATCAGAAACGAACACCCAAGGGACAGATTATCAAAGGAAACCAGACTAAACAGATAGCAATTAACAGAGTTTGACCAAACAGATGAGAACAGATTTGTTGCGACTAGATAACAGCAAAATTAGACCAAAAAGATGCCGGAAAACAAACCAGATGGGGATTCCGACCAGAACCCTAAAAGTCGAAGGTCGTCGGAGGCCGGAAAAGAGCTCACGCGCCGGCGCGTGGAGGCATGACGGAGGCGGACTAGGGTTCCGGCGACGGCGGGGGGTTCCGGCGTGAACAGTAACTCCGATGTGAACAGTAACAACGATAAACCCTAGGCTCTGATACCATGTAATCAGAGAGAACTAGGACCGAGATATTAGAGAGAATTCTCTATTATATGATTAATCAGAAAAAAAATTCAAATTTACAAGAGGAGAGACACTATATATAGACATAATTACACGGGAAACACTAACCCTAAAGCCCATCGGGCTTGGACACATTACCATAAACAGGTTAATTAATTAACACTTTTAAAAGGATTTGATTTTGTTTCATTGATTTTCGACTCCTATAGTGACTTCTCGTGATGATTGAGCAATTTAACAACTACAGTTTTGTTTTATATATAACCAAACTAAACCAAACCGAGCCAGTAAATTCCCACTAGAAAGTAGGGTTTGGAGGATGCTATGTATGCTGGTCTGACCTCTACCCCAAAGAGTAGAGCAACTATTTCCATGAAGACCCCTGACTTGTGCTAGAGCGTGAGCTATCAGATAGCAGGAACAACGACTAGTACATGGTGAACATAGAATGGAAAAAAAGTAACGAGTAGGTACATTGGAAACATACAAAAGGTAAGGCAAGGTAAATACACACAAAGCAAGTAAAGCAAGACACGTTTCTAGTCTAAACTGTCAACCCTCTACTCCTGCAACATCTCCAACTCCCTTCTACCCGACCAAGCTAGCTAGGTTCTCAGATCTAGTCTGCTACCCTAGTCCTACATCTCCAGATACTGCTATCAAAGGTGATGTCCTTAGAAATAAGGGGGTCATGTCCATCCTCAACTTTTCCTCCCACGTCCTCCTCGTTCTTCCCCTCTCCTCATCCCCTCAACAGTAACATAAATGTTCTGAATTGCTTCACGAAAGTTTCTCCATTGAAATTTGATCCAACAGTAACACAAATTAAAAATTAGACAACTTCTGTTTCTTTCATTGGTTTCGTTCTAGACTAGAAGCATATGCATATACATATACTTGTGCATACACACACACACACACTGTTTTTAAAGAACGGAAACGAGGCTCGAGGCGTTTTCACTTTTGGCACGTGAGGCGTAATCCCCAAAAAACATAATATATATATATATATATATATATACTTGTACATAGCATATATACAAATACAAAATATAGATATAATACTCACAGTTGCTACAAGTCTCCAATGCAGCAGGGTAAAGAGGAGGAGAAGTCATGAGGTTGTATGAGGAAAAGTTACGGGGTTTGAAAAAGAGAGCTGCCAGTTATGTTTGTTATAAAATATAATATTAGGGTTGTTTTTAGTCATTTATTTAAATAAAATAAAACACATCCACTTGCAGATAATAGAGGTATCATTAACCTACTAAAACTCTAATCCACCAAAACTCTAATCCACCAAGACTAGCCCGCTAAACTCTTAACCCGTTAAAAGTCTGATGCCTGTTCATAGTTTCACCGCCTCACAGATTTTTCACTGCCCCACACTTGTAAGGCGTAGTCATCATCAACAGAATAAAAGGCAAAGCCTCATAGACGGTTTTGGGTCGCCTCAACATGAGGCGCGCCTTGAGGAACATGCCTCTACCGTTTTTTAAACAATACACATACATATGCATACACAATATAGACATACACATAGGTAATATGTATATGCGTTATAGGTATTGGTATATCTTTTGTATTCTTAGCATGTCTAAGGTCATATATGGCACTTACTATTGGCTTGAGGGAGTATAAATCTTCATTGAAGATCAATATTCTCCTGTAAAGGTGAGTATAAACCTTGTAAAGGTGAGTAGGAGAATATAGATTGGTTTTTCTTGTCTTAGACTAGCTTTACTCCATCTTGGCTATCTTGAGCTTATTATAAGTTTTTCTTTTTCTGCTTACTACTAGGGATTTCAAATTCCTATGTCGGATCTCATAGCCCCTGTAACCTTCACTTCACAGCCTGATTTATGCACTTTAAAAGCGCACGTCTATAAACAACTTTCAGAAAGAAGCGAACGAGGTCTTTGTCCACCGCAACCATCCTCCAAGAGTGCGAGACAACCTGACCGCTAAACAGTTTCTCTAGGGTACCATGCATTGGTATACTACGTAGAGTATCTGCTGACAGTATTTGCATGCGTTAGTAGTAAGCAGAAAATGAAAAGCTTATCAATAAGCTCAAGATGGAGTAGGGCTAGGCTAAGACAAGACAGACCGATCTATATCTCCAGCTTGTCTTGATGTGTGAGTAGCGGGGAGGAAAGAAAGGGCAGTATTGCGGTAGATGATGATAAGAGAAGGCACTGCGTAGCGGAATGGATGAGCAAAATTTGTTTTGCCATGGAGTGGGTAATGTCCCAAGTAAAGGCGAGCATGAGAATATATATTCTAAGCTAATAAAATCACAGACTGCCAAGATTTCTGAATGTTTTGCTTAGTTGGAATTGAAAATGTTTGTAACTGTTGAAGCAATGGGTGATTCCTGTATACATGTTTGCATCTCTATTCCTATTTTTATTTTTCAGTTGTAATTTTATAACCATTTGCTACTTCTAGGAATCTGCCTGTATCAACTAATGCACAAAGGACCACTTAACCGAGTTTGGACCGAGGACCTGCCCAAAAAACGGGCCTTTTAAAAGGCCCGTCCCAAGGATTGGTTATAGGCGAAAACCCGTTTTGGTCCTAAATTTTGAACCTGGGACCGGTCCTTGACTGGTTAAAAAAAGCCTGGATAAAGCCCAAAAACCGGTCAGTGATTAACCAAAAATTGGTCCCATTAAGGCCTGGTCAAGCCCAATTAAAGCCCGAAAAATCAGTCAAAAGCCGTTTTACCCAAATTATTTATTATGACTTAAAATTTGAAAAATACTAAAACAATAACTTTTGGTCATCAATAGTGAAATTAATGCAAGAATTTTTTTATAAAACATTTTATAGATATGTCAGTTTTTTCGTGACTCTTAAACGCAACATGCAACAAAAAAGGACCGGTCCGGTCTTTTTTGGCTAAAAAAGGAACGGTCTCTTGGACCGGTGAAAGCCCGGTCCTTGTGCACCTCTAGTATCAACCATTCATTCTGTGAATGATAAAGAAGGTATTTTATTCTTTCAGATTTTTCTCTTGAAAATATATAAATAATGGTGAACATTTTAGTGACACAATCATCTAAGATAGTGATTATCCTCTATTACTAACGAGCAGTCGAGCATATGTACTTTGTTGGTAGCATCATTCTAAATTATCATGATCTTTGTTATTCAGGCAGAAAACAGAATTTCGACAATGACTTCCAGCCGCTCTGATTGGTGTATATCTCGTCAGAGGACATGGGGTGTCCCAATTCCAGTCTTCTATCATGCAGAAACAAAGGAACCTCTGCTAAATGAAGAGACTGTTAATCATATCAAGTGTAAGGGACTGAGATTAACTGACTACTTTCTAGCTTCTTGGAGTGGGTTAGAATATCTAAGATTTTTAACATATATTACTGTTCCATGATATCTGTATCTGGTGTTATTTTTTATTTTCTTTCCATTTCGAATTCTACCGTGAGGCCAAATGCATAAAATGGTCACCATGTGCCACGGTTGCTCTTTGGTGGGATTATTGTTATGTAACAAGAAGCTACACATAAATAAAGGTGGTAACTTGGGTGACTATTTTATGCGTTTGACCCTCTCCTTTTAACCTGATTGTATGTTCTTGAAAATTTAGGAAAAACAAATTACATCAGATTACGAAAATGAACTTACAGTTATGGACTGTACTTTTAAATGATTGTATTTGGCAGCAATTATTTCCCAAAAGGGCAGCGATGCATGGTGGTACATGCCAGTAGAAGAATTGCTTCCTGAGAACTATCGTGATAAAGCATCAGATTATGTGAAGGGAACTGATACAATGGATGTTTGGTTTGATTCAGGTATATTACTGGTTAATAGAGACTGTTAATTGAACATGTACCTTGACCTAATAAACATGAGCTAATTGCAGGTTCTTCTTGGGCTGCTGTTTTGGAGAGTAGAGATGGCCTTAGTTGTCCTGCAGATTTGTACGTTGAAGGTACCGATCAGCATCGGGGTTGGTTTCAAAGTTCTTTATTGACCAGTGTTGCCACAAAAGGTACATAGACTATGAATGCATTCTTATTCCAACAGTGTTCCATTTGTTATCATCATCTTCATTGTAGTAGTTGTTATCGCTTGTTGCATGTTGGTTTTGCTAGTACTTTGCCTTTATTACTACTACTACTACTATTATTATTATTATTATCACCACCGCTATGACTACCTATTTTATTATTAATCTTATTTTGTTAAATATCGCAGGAAAAGCTCCATATTCTGGAGTTATAACCCATGGATTTGTGCTGGATGAGAGAGGTTTAAAAATGAGTAAATCTTTGGGTAATGTAGTTGATCCACGTACTATAATTGAAGGAGGGAAGAATCAAGAGGTTAGTGGTTGTTTTGCAGTATTGATAACTGATAAGAACAATTTTTTAATAGTGGATTAATTGTTTCCAATTTTTTCTCCAGGAAGCACCTTCCTATGGTGCGGATGTGCTTAGGCTCTGGGTCTCAAGTGTAGATTATACCGGAGATGTTCTGATTGGACCTCAAGTCCTCCGTCAAATGTCCGACATATATAGGAAGCTAAGAGGAACTTTGCGGTTTCTTTTGGGAAATCTTCATGATTGGAAAGTATGTATTGGATTCTGAATACACTTCACTAATGGTCTTGCTATACCTTGAACGGTAGTAATTTTTTGTTTATCTCCTTTACCTTGTATTTTGATTTACTTTTTCAGGCCGGAAATGCTATTGCATATGATGAACTTCCTGAGATTGATCGGCATGCTCTGTTTCAGCTTGAGAATGTTGTGAAAAACATCAAAGAAAGCTATGAAAGCTATCAGTTCTTCAAAATATTCCAGGTAAAAAATGTTATCTAGCTGCCGTCTTAAACTAAAGGTTGGAAGACGTATATTGTTCCCAAATGGCTTTTGATTGTTCCACTTCTGCACCCTTTGACTTGGGAAGAGTAAAAAGAAGATAAGAAAAGGAACTATATTGAGAAGTAAGGCATCCATTTTTTGTTAAAGTGAGTGACACCTATTTGCCAACCCATAATGTGATGGAAGATTTATTTGAAGTACTGACCTGTCACTCCCAAATGAGGTGCACTGATGTGGCTTCCCGCTCCTATGAGGTCGGCTCAGGAACAACTAGTTATGGATATGATTTGAGAACAATCTGCTCAGGAACAACTAGTAGGGAACGGGATACTTCTATCAGGTTTTTAAGATTTTTAATCATGAAACCTGGGTTGCCAATCAGCAACTGATTATGTGATTATGTAGTTCCCGTTTTTCCTTTTCTTGATGCATCTGATTCATGGTTAGATGAAATTCTATCATGAAATGAGATACGATTGCTGGATAGGGCATTCGTTTCTGGTGATACTTTTACATATCTAGTAGGCTTGCAAGGGTGTAAACATACACAGCATTACTCCAGCCCATGGAGAGGTTATTCACATATATTTTTTCATATCCAGTAGGCTTTCAGGGTTGTTATAGACAGACTTATCCCCTCAGAATTACTCCCTCGTGGTCATAGCATAATACTTATGCAAGTATATGGATGTTGACTTATTACCATTAACTCAAAATGTTCTAAAATATGGTCTTAATGGTCTATCCAAAATCATGATGTGAAAAGATGGCAATTGCCATTTTACTTGCAGTACGTGTTAATAGAACACCTGATAGATTCCTTTAATGAATATATACTAATGTGCCATCAACACTCGAAAGGGGGAGAATCGATTTTTTTAAATTTAGTTTTTGCAAGATGACAGTTTGGTTGCTCATTCTTTCATAGTGAAAGGTTTTCTTATTTTTATGTCATAATTTTTATTTGTTCCATTTCAGATCATTCAACGATTCGCTATTGTCGATCTCTCAAATTTCTATTTTGATGTTGCCAAAGATCGCCTTTATGTTGGGTACACCTTTTTTCCAATGCACCTCCCTCTCTTCTCTCTCTCTCTCTCTCTCTCTCTCTCTCTCTCTCTCTCTCTCCCTCCCTCAGTATGAATCCAATATCTTATTTGTGCTTTAGTTAAGATCTGTTGTAATACTGGACTTTACTCATGTTTACTGTTGTAATTTAATTAGAAGGGAAGCTCAGTTGCTAGTATGCTAATTAACCCAATTGAGAAGGGATTCTATGGTGCAACAATTAGAACATTATCAAGTTTATAGTTGAGGAAAAATCACCTCTTCATACCCTAATCATAGTATCTTTATGTCATTGTGCTAACTGATCGAATGATAGTTCCATCAGATCTTTCACAGAAGAATAATCTGAGAAAAAGATTGTTCAAGGAGTCGTTTAGGCGCCAGAACATCTTGAACTATACCTGCTGTTATACAGACACTAAAAGATATAATCATCTTCTCTTCGATCCCTCGTATCCCTTCTGCTCTAAAATGTCTTTGTAACCACCGTGTTTGCATTACTTCACCACCAAAATAAACAATGGCTTCAAGATGAAGTTCAAAAAGTTTTTACATTCATTTAGATAGCCAATGTAATTATGTTTAGAGAAGTTGTTGACACAAAAGTTATCCATTTCTGAAAGTTACTTGGTCCTTTAGATCAACTTAAAATTTGAGTAGAAATGAATCCTCTTTTGGTTCATGTTGCAACATGCAGAAATGGTGTATGTTTCACTAACCTGTAAAACTGGATTTTTAGTATTTTCAATCGTTTCACTTCAGTCATCTTTTAGTAATTTTCCTGGCTTAGGGAATCCATCTTCACTTCCGCTTCTCAATCAACTTTTGGAGATGGGAAGTAAAAAGGAATCTGTCACCACTTTATCCTTCCATGGTTGAAGTGACCAAGTGGTCAACAGCAGCAGCCTTAATGACATTTCTGAATAATCAAAAGTTTTTAATGATTACATTTGTGTGTAGTTAAACAATTGTTTTCCTCTATTACATGCTGCAAGATATTATAAAAGGATATTCTTATGATTTAGAGAAGTTTGATTTGCTTTATAGTCTCATGAGTAGACTTTGGTATGTTGATTCTATTTCAGGGGTGCTTCAAGTTTTACTAGAAGAAGCTGTCAAACGGTGCTTGCAGTTCATCTACTCTCCATAGCTAGAGTAATTGCTCCAATACTGCCTCATCTGGCTGAAGATGTGTGGCAGAATCTCCCTTTTGAATATACTGTTGACAATGCTGACGTAGCCAAATTTGTTTTCGAGTCAAAATGGCCAGCAGTAAATGAAAGATGGCTCGCCTTTCCTGAGGAAGATGTTGATTTATGGGAGAAAGTTCTTGAGGTAACCATTCTGTCTGCTGACTTAAGGGAATCATGTTATCTAATTATTGATTTAGATATTGAGCATCACATAATCAAATATTAAGTGAAGAAGTCTTCTCTTTTGGTTAAAACCTAGTTATGTTGCCATCTAATTTGTTAAGAATAGTACACTTGTTCCTCCCAATTGAACTCCTAGATGTTAAACTTCCTAGCCATATTTAGGGGTGTACAAAAAACCGCCAAACCGCTCAACCCTCCCAACCCAACCCGCTAATAACCCAATTAATCCCAAGCCGCTAAATCGCCAACCTGTCAAACCGCTAAACCGCCAATTAAGAGTGTTGAAATTGGATTATCCTAGCTCAACCCAACCCAACCCGCCTCTTAACATATATAACTTCGTTAAATTTTTATTTATATTTATATATAATCTACTAGTCTAATATACACACACACACATATATATATGTGTGTGCGTGTGTGTCCTTATTTGCACTATTTTTTTTGTTAAGTTGTAGCCTGTAGGCAAATTTTAAACTACAGGACCAATAAATCTAGCTCAACTCCATGGTCCACAAAGAACTGAAGTGTGATTCTTCTGTGATATCAACTTTTTATTTTAGTATGCCACCTTTGATTGCCACATACCTGTGACCACAATAATCTAGCTGTGATTTTGATAAATTTTTATTATTTCTGGTTGAACAATTTTACGTGCATCTAATTCATACAAATTTGCTAGTTGAGAACCGAGGTGAATAAAGCATTGGAGTCTGCTCGCACGGGCAAACTCATTGGTTCCAGTTTGGAGGCAAAGGTCTATCTCCACAGCTCTGATGATATCCTTGCTGCAAGATTAACGAGAATGTGTGAAGCTAATATTGATGCAGATTCGCTGCATCGCATATTTATAACTTCTCAGGTATTTCTGTTTAGTTTTGTACATATGATTATTTATGAAGTTGTATTTGATATTTTGGCTAGTTTTTATATCTGGCACTTGGCACTGAAACTCCTATAGACCTATACAAGGTGGTCTCAAACTATGATAACCATTAAACATAATACCCAATTACAGCTAGTTAGAAATATAAAAACTACTATCAGCATATGATAAAGAAACTTTCTCATTATGAAACTTAATTGACATTGTTTCTTGAATCACTCCAAATTACCATTAATATTCTGCATTATTTCTATAAATGGGCAATTTTTATTAATTTTATATTGAAATAGATTTAATAGAATTCAGCGGTGCATCTATCGTGGAATTTGATAAAGAACTCAAAAGTGACACTTAAATGTAACAAGGGGATCAATAAGAGGTATATACAAGAATTGTTAAAGATTTTTGTAACATCCCGTTCCCGTGGGTATCATCCTTTGCCCTTAGTACAAGTGAATGAAAGAAACTTCATATTTTAAACTTTTATTTCATTATAATAGAACTATTACAGCAGCGGAAATGCGGAAATTTACAACTTATGATATTCTAACATCTTGCCTTGATTCCTGAGATACATACATGAATACGTAAGCTAAAAGCTTAGTGGGTAGTTATGGTTTCATGATAAAACATTCTTTCCAAATAGTTAAAATAATTCTTATAAACTATCATGTATAAAAACATGTCATTGAGATCTCATGGTTGCATGTTAAGTAAACCAACTTCTCATAGTTTCTTTAACCTCGGGTCCACATAAGAACTCTTATGATAGTTTAACACCTAATTTTGAGGATAAGAAAATCTTGACACCTCATGCTTAATATAAAGGAATCGTCACATATCATGCTTAATATAAAGGAATCTTGACACCTCATGCTTCTAGCTTTTATTTGTCATGTTTCTAGCTCTTACTTGTCATCATGAATTTTGCCAATACATGCTTCTAGCTTTGACAACTCATAATTAGCTTGCTTTGTCATAAGATTTTTGTGGCTCATGTTGTTTGTTTATAAGTAGCTTAGTTAGCTACTTATGTGCTTATTGGTAAGTAGCTTCGTAAGCTATTTGCCTTATAAATATGATAGTTTAATAAATGCTACAACTGTTGGACTCTTTTAAGAGTACTTAATTTACTTACAAAATCTTGTATTTAAGGCTTAAATATTGAGATTTAGCAAATAAAGAAACTAGGGTGTTACAATTTTTGACTAAACTGTATGAAGTGCTGAAGTGCGAGCTTCTTGCCCTTCTCCGTTACATATCATTGAACTCAGTTAAGTAGCAGAAATCCGTGTTTCCCGGTTACTATTCCTAGAATAAAACCCAAAATCTTAGTTTTATTCTCCAACCCAACGATTTTAGGTGTTAAATTTAGGTTTTTTTTAATTTATGTGACAACTCCCAGAGACTGTTTCAGATGATATATGGTGTTCAAAAAGCGTATTGGTCATAATTGCAGGTTGAGATTCTTTCGAGTTTGGAGGATGCACCAACCGCAAATATACCATATTCCGGAGAATATTTGATTGAAGGCGAAAAGAAAATATGGATTGGCATATCACGTGCAGAAGGTTCGAAATGTGAAAGATGCTGGAACTTCTCACCTCAAGTTGGTTCTTTTGTTGACCATCCCACACTTTGCCGACGCTGCTATGATGTTATTGCCGATCAACCACTTCCTGCTCTTGCAGCTGTGAGTTGAGCTTTATGTAGGTAATCAATCTCTTCACAAAGATGAATTATCTACATAATTCACCATCTTTTTAAGTCGATAATCTCAACTTTGTTTTAAAGCAACGAAAGTGAAGTGGAAAGTTAAATCGAGGGGAGGAGTACCAGGATTGCACATGCTTCATAGCATGGAGTATGGAGTTACATTCAGAGTGACATGAGGGTAAAAGGAACTCTATTAGCTTTAGAATAATACATAGTTAAAGGTTCCAATATTGATTACATGATAGAACTCTGCCTGCAGATCATAAATTATGAAACTCTTATTTTATTCTTAACATTTAATGTATTTTTTACAAGCAATGAGACTCTTTATTCATTTTATTGAACACAATATGGCATATGGAATGTTCATGTGTTATTGATTTTCCTAACCCTCACCTTTTTCTATTCCCTCTATTTCTTTGGGGAAATTTTTATCTTATTCACACGTTTTTCACAAAGTCGGGGTCTTCACGGAAACAGCCACTCTGGAGGTCAAATCTGCATATGTTTGGCCCCTCCAAAACCATACCTTCGGGTGGGATATAGTTGGCTTGTTTGGTTTGATTTTGTTTTGTTTTTGTGCACATGCTTTTAGGTTGCAAGCAAAACTCCCACCCAGAACTATGTTCCCAGTTTCTTTACCGTGTTATTCAAAATATACAAAATGCCTGTTTTTTATGACCGGATGGACTCATTCTCGACGAAAAATGTAGAACTGGTCAGGCTTTTGGACCTGGAGTCTGAGTCTACGTCCAAGTCCAAGCGGGTCCAGGGTCCATCTGCAGATTTAGCATGGCAGTTTCATTTTATTAAATGATCGTTTCATTCCTTTAAACAGGAATAAATCCCGGTCCATAATTGATCTGGACCATAAACTGCATAGCTAGTTAGGCCTGAGCAAACTCGTATATACAAAAAAATGAAAGGACAACTACAACACCATGGCCACTACATATTCAACTCCCTTCTTGTCATCTTGATCTCCTCTTGTTTTTATAAACCGATTAGCGAAGTACGCAAGCAGGAATCTCTCCCCCACCATCCAAGTAATAAAAAAGAAGACTCGAGACCAAGGAGTCGTATAAATAATATAAAAAGTAGAGTCGAGGAAAATGAATCGTATGAATAATTAGCTGATAATGTGACAGAAAAAGGACATCCAACATCTAAACATCTTTTGGTTCAACATCCAACGTCTCCAACATCTGAGGGCTCTATCGTCAAACGGGTCCAACATCTGATATCCCGAAATGTTGATGGCTTATTGGAAACAAATAAAAGAAGTAAAGGTTGGCACTAGGCCAGATATTGCAGCAATGTGAGGCCATTGATGACCTTTCTCCTATCAAAAATAACCCTTCAAAATGGGTAATGGGTATAATTCCATCAGAGCCTTAATGATTCAGTCATCTTGAGATAATCCCATATGCCACCCTCTAGTTTTAATGTGTGAACCGAAGTGCTAAGCAACCCTTCTAACCATTCACAACCAAAACCAGCCATGGAAGGTTGAGTGCAAGTACCTTCTAACCGGTGGTAACCAGTCTAAACCAAACAGGGCCCTGCAACAAAAGAGAGTAAATAAAAGGGCACCTCAAATAGTTGTCTGAAAGTAACAATTGGTCAAAATGACTGTATGTAAATGGACTACTAGAAATTAATAATTATTAGTCAAAGAACACTCTAAGAACAAATCAACCATAATTTACAGGCATTGAAACGATACAAAGAGTAAATGGCAGTCTGGGGCCTGACGCTTCAGGGTGCATGCCTTGTATAATGGTACATGATGATGATGATCACCTTTCACTATTATCTTTCCTCAACGGATTGGGACACTGGAATCATTTGATGGTTGTTGGATGAAATCCGACCCGTCTTCATCCAGGGAGGGAAGTTGTAAATCCTGAAAAATAACACAAAATAGAAAAAAAGTTAAACCAGCATCATCTTCATGCCTAAATAATACTACAATCATTATATTCCTTAGAACAAGAGGTGGAAAAAGGTAGACGGATACATAAACGAGAAATTTCGTTAATGCACAAGATCCCATAAGAACTTTGAGGTTAAATGTGCTTGGATGAGAGTAATACTAGGATAAGTCCTCATGTTGCACCTCCTTCCCGTTCTACCCTTTGAAGTAGGGGGAGTTTGCATATATCCCACCCCCAAAACCCTACTTTCGAGTGGGATATATCGAGTTCGTTTCATTTGGTTTTATACATAAACAATAACTTAAATTTTATTAAATGTTTTAAAGGTACCATGGGAAAGGATTTATGAATTGCTTCTACGCTATTTAAAGGTACCATGTATTTAAAGGTACCTCACTTACCGGGTAAGATTCTCAGTCCTTGTTTGCTCACCTGGTAAGGTAAGTGACATCCGCTGAGCGCTTACCCAGTAAGTGTTTGGTAAACAGCCCCCAAGACATATATAGTAGCTAGACTGAAAGGAACCAGTGATACTCAAAGTTAATGCATACCTGTGATTGTAACAGCTGATTTGGCTGCTGATCTTGAGCCACTGAGTAGGCTTGTGGTTGAGACATTCGATAATAAGGCTCTTTTAGATCAAGTCTGCAGCTTGACGTTTGTAGTATTCCTCCTTGTTCAGCACCAGGCCCCCACATTTTAGCTACAACACAACTTGCAACTTGTCATATAGGATTACATTTAAACTACCAACCCAGATGCATCCACAAATGCGCGGTGAAAGGACATAAATAACATTTCTCTAACCAACCTGACATGGTGAGATTAATTGTATAACTCTGAGCACTGTGTGCAATCATGTGAAGATGGCCACTTATTTCTTGTCCAGGCATGACATATATGGGTTGAGACAAGACACAACGCAGTTGATACCAATGAGTTGTAGGTGCACCAGGAGCCGTAGTCAGCCACCTTTGTACGGTGCTGTAGGTCAAGAAATTTAATGTGGAAACTTATTTAGTGGAGATAACTTAGTATGGAGGATCCAGATTGTATAAATTGTAAAAGCATAAAATTATCACCTGCCATTAAAGAGAACGTCAAACCAACATGCCAAACCATGTATTCTAGTGCCCACAGAAGCTATGAATTTCAATGGAATGTTGATTTCATACAAGTCCTCTTCCTGAAAATCGAATAGGGAAAGAGTCCAACATGTAGTGAAAAACGTGAATCAAGCACAAACAGTTGTCTAAGTTAAGTTAAAAATGACTAGTAATAACCTTATTGCTTCACTACAAGAAATTTAATTAAATGCATTTGATGAGGTAAGCCAAGTCACAGAATATTGCCACATGCTTCAAAAACAAGTGTCCTTTCAGCAAATTATCTTCCAAACATATTTGTTCATTTAGCAATCCTCAATTGATGTCCTATCAGAATATGAGCTCCCATTTCTAAAATTACATGCAAGACATTTTGCAATGATGCAGTTCACTTGATAATAACTTGCATAAATGCTTTCTCTTATAAGAGAGTCAAATGGGTATTCATACCATCCAAATTTTTACTGGGTTAAGTTTACTAACGAATGGGACTTGAAACTTTTACTTCCTTTTCTTGCTCCCAGGTACTTCAGTCATGCAATACAATCCACTAAAGTTCATAGATTAATGCCTAAACACTTTAAGAGTTCTGCGACGATCATGCCTTCCATTCAATGACTAAGATAGTCTTATGAGGGAATCCAAAGCACAGAAATTTCTACGTGCAAGTCCTAGAAATCCTAGTTCCTATGAAAGTCACACTAAAATAGGTTAAACATAGTAGATAAAAAGTTTTCAAGATGGTCAACATGTAAAACTGCGACATTGCCCACCATCATTAGCAAATAAAAATCACAATACCTTCACAGTAGTAAAATTTATCACATGGGAAACTGCAGGAGCCACCAACAACCTTGGATCAAAAGCATCAACTACTGGCTGCAAATAATATCAAACACAAAGTTACTATAGATAAAAGAAACAGATATGTCATGAATGACAGTATTCAAATTCAACATAGAAAAAGCCATATGAAATACTTAAAATAGCTAACAACTATGTTTGCTAAAGTGGACCTCACTTGCAATCCAATTGAGTAAAAACGCCTCATCAACTAGAGGGGCAGCACTATACCCTAATATATGGCAGGCTGATGCAATAAGCATCCATGTTATGACTTGCTTCAGTAACTAGCTGTCAATCTCCCTTTAAGTTGGAGATATCCCATGATTCCCAACTTGAGACAATTCCAAGTCACAAAATGCAATATTGAGATAGATCAAACTAAATAAGATGTAGGAGTGACAATGCAGCAGGTTCGTTTCTCACTGCAATGAAATTCCTTTTGTTCTTGTTTCATGAAATAGCAATATGCATGTAGGTGGCGGAGGGGCAGGCTTTTGCAGGGCCCTGTCCCATCTCCCCAACATGGAAAAGATAGGGGTAAGCGAAAACAGGAGGCGGAGCAGATATGAGGGTGAGTTTTTTAACCAATTCGGAATCAAAACCTGCATTAGTTATGACCCAAAGAAAACACATCCACAATGTTCATATATCATTATAAAAGATTGCATAGTATATATTTGTAAATATACACCTTATATGTGTATTTTCCTTTGTAATTGCATTTATATTTTGCCTTTTGGTATTGGAAAACATAATATAACATTTATAGTTTATAGTGTCTAATTGTATTTTATAAGTTACGAGTATTAGGAATTCAATATGATAAAAGTTGGTCAGGGCCAGGGCTGGGTGGATGTGGGCTGGAATAATTGGGGTGGGCCGAATTTAAGGTAGAATAAAAGCAGAGGTGAGACAGAAACTCTGCCTTTTAGGTAATAGCTTTTGATCAGTGTTCTAAAAGGCATTAGGCAATAGTACGCAGTAGACTGAACACCCAGTGTTTACATGATTAAGCAACGATTAAGTGGATTTATAGGCGAATAAATTAAGGTGTAGCCTTAATGTATAAAATACAGTTCGTTCGTATAAAGCACCCTTTACTGTTAAAGTTACCTTTTTGTCAATTATCAGTATTTCTAAAAAAGCAATAAATGCAGCTATATGGTTGAGTGACCTTCCAGCTTGAAAGCCTAAGCAAGGCTTGAGGCACACACTTCAGCGTAGCAACGGAGAACCATTTAAGAGAGTTGTGAAGCAAACTCTTTTACAATCCTAACCATCAAGGTTTACCCATAGTTGGTGATCAAGGAGCTAAAGAGGAGTAGTCAAGAAACTAGATTGTTTCACACCAGGACTAAATGACTAAAACTGCCTTTTCAATTAAGTCTGCAAGTTGGTTCTTCCCCTCACAGGGGTTGTTGACCTGTAGTATTATCAATCATATCTCAAAGATATTCCAATGGAAGAACTTCCATACCATGACTATATTAGGATCATAGATTTCTTAATTAGAAGTCATGCATGGTGTCTACATAGTAAATGGTCCATGACATACACTTCAACTTGAGAAGTGTGTTAGAGCTACACAATTTATATATATAATTTATCCTAATAATATATTTCACATCTGGATTTAATTGCACACTCCATCCCTATTTGTTCATGCTCTGATTAATGAATAACTTTTTGAGAACCATATTTTTCAAAAATATAATTAATAAACGTAAAATATAAACAAAAAGACTTCCTAAAACACAAGCAGTCGTGAACAAAGAAGCTACTCAGAAGACCCCAAATTAATGCTTATTTCACCTATTTTTTAATGTATGCAAGCAAGACAAACCTGTGAAAAATATCCTTGGAATGCAGTACCATGTAAAGCTGTCAAATCAACCCCATAATAATTTTGTTGCTGCCAAAATAGTGCCTGGATAACAAGGAGCAAGAATTAAGTATGCCTCTTATAGCAAAACCATATATAGAAACTACGACATGCAAATTATAATCAAGACATCATTAATATGTTTTAGAATACGCATGTTGCACAAGACCAGAACTGAACATCATATTCTCTATCAAAGTGAATCTAGATTGTTTAGAAACAAACAAAAAGAAAGGAAACTGACATTAAATAAATCAAATAACCAACCACGAAAAGCCACTACCTTGTTTGCAATCTCAACATAGAGATACTCATCGCTGAATGGTGCCATGTGAATTCTGAAAAATTTAAAGAACACACATATATATATCAACATTAAAAGGCATACATATTACGTACATATATGCAAAGTACAACATAGAACTTTAGAACCACATGCACATCAAGTGCATGCATAAAATTACACTAAATTGGGAAGGGGGTCTCAACAAACAAATAGGCAACAGCAACGTATACGAGTGTCGCTTAATCAGCATGACACAACAAGAAAGATTCACTACTTTGTGGATATTATTTTTCATCGAAAATATATGTGCTTCACAAACATGGACATCTTGGAAGGATTATCAACTCCCATATAAGAATTTCAGATTAAAAATGGCATAAACGGTCAGGTTTGCATCATATGATGTACCCATGTGTTCTTGATCAAGAGGCACACAACATCCTGTGTTAATACAATAAAAACCAAGCATATGAAGAGTTATAAAACAGATGGGAACGTAATCATGCAATTATAGAGCACATTGAGGCCCTTCCTTAGACTTGTTATATCATGTTCAAGAAAGATGTTCAAATGCGTTCGATGCACCATAGTTTAAATATCATATGATTCTAGTTAAAAATCACCTTCCAACAGTGGGGAACATTTTTCCATTAGGGACGAGAAACCGATCTCTTGCAATGACATAGGATTCCAGCATTCTTTCATTCACTAACAGGGTGCCTGCAAGAAGGGATGATAAGATACAAGGCAGACTTTATCAGATACAGCAAAAGAAATTTGACTGGCATTCTATTAAGTATTAATGGAAGAGACGTAAATTTTTCCTATAAGATTTGGTCCATTTCTGGTCCAATGACCTGGCCAGAGGTACTATCCACCCAAAAATTTGCTTTAACAGCTATTTGTCTAGTATGTCACCCACCTATATGCTCGCAATTTTAAAACCTCACGTTAGCCTTTCATATTCACCATATTTCAAATGGACAAGTGAGAGAGGAAGTGAGCTAACTTTTAATATTATTCCTCCAATAGAAGCACTTTATTAGTCACCACTAACAAAATGTAGCTAGATTTGAGTGGCAAGATAAGCACCTGGGCATGAACATATAACAATCATCCACCTTTTGCTATATACTCATAGGGTGAATATACCATGCCTTAGAATGAACGACGACAGGAAGGATATCTACGAGAATATGATATATAGATATGTGTGTGTGTGTGTGTGTGAACCCAAATTCTAGTAGGAGAAATGGATTAAAGGCTACAAAAGTCTTAAAACTAGGCAGCTCATGTCAAAAAAGAAAAACAAAAATGAGATCAATGCCTACAACTACATGGTGGCCAACAGGAGGGACACCTACCACATAATGGTGGCCAACCTGAACAGATATCCCTATGTCTACAAGATCAATATCCCACAAGAGCTCTTTCTGATTATGTCATTATTCCAAAAGGAAACAAGCACAGGCAGCCAAGCATTGCATGATTAATCAGGTTCAACATCCAAGGCGAGTTGCTATTTTTCTCTCATGGACCATAGTTTGGGAATATTCTTCCCTCGTTTAACATCACAACAAAAGATAATAGGATGGCAACATGTGATAAGAACCATGTAATCAGTTCAGCATTAACAATGATAATAGACACATGACATAATGAACTTACCCATAGGCTCTGAGATCAATATATCGGCTTTCTCTGGCAATTCTACATCTTCAACTTTGCCCTTGATAACCTGCATTTTAATGACAGGGTCCCCCCAGGATAAGACAKAGAGCATTACATGTAGATTGCCTTGTACTAAGAAATGGAACAAACCGTAATTCTTTGTCCCAATATAGGATTCCCAGCAATAAGCTTCTGAGCATAGTCAGCCATTTCAGATGCTTCCACAGCATAAACATGTTTTGCACCAGCCTAACGAGTGCCAAGGAGGAGATGGGGATACATAAGGAACCAAGAGAAGGAGCAAACAAGAAGATCAATTATGTGATTTGTCATTTTAGGCGACATCACCAAGCAACATGAGTATGTAATAGTACCAGGGGTGTTCATCGGTTGAATCTCAATGGATTTTAGGCAGAAAGGATCCAATACAATCATCCACTGGATGTTGGATATTGCCAACCAAACCAATCCAATCCAGTTAAAGATGGACAACCGATCCGATTGGATCCGATCCAATCCAACCCAATGGATGATTGGATCCATGATCCAATTATCCAACCAATTAATCCAATATTTACGATTTTGTTATTTTCTATTTTCATTTTTTAACATACTGAAATTTATAATATTAGATCGATAATTAGACAGGTAAGTGGATGGTAATTGGAATGGATTAGATTGGTTCAGTTTTACTAGATTTTGGATTGTCATCCAAGAACCGAGCGATCCAATTCGGATGCTTAAATTTTGGATCTGATGACTTTCTGCACACCCCTAGATAGTACAAGTATCAACTAGCAGCACCTGAGCAGCAAATAATGATAGTATGCCACTTCCAGCACCAACATCAACCACTACACGGCCAGCAAAATCTACTTGGTTCTCAATGACAGCAGCATAGTAGGAACCTGAAAGAGGAAAATTTATCATGCATTTCAGTTCCATAAGATCCCAACGATTTTCATCTGAGACATGCTTATTGAGATGAATTCATCTTAGCAGCAGAATGTGATAGACGCTCCTTGAAAAAGAACTCATCATAATCGAGCACATCAGCTTTTAATTGAATAAGACTAATAGATGGATAGTTGGATACCAATGCCAGTTTAGCAAATCAGCGAAAAAAGAAAAAGGTGAGTGGTATATTGACCTGTTCTCACATAATCCTGCAACATATTTTGCTGATGTAGCAGCTGCCCATAGTAATGGAAATACATTTTAGCAGAAGATGCTTCTATTTTATCATCAAATTTGCTTTTAGAAGAAGAAACTGTTCCATTTGGTAAAGTTGATCCTGTAAAAAGAAAAAACAAATAATCAGGTCATTTAGTGATTGCATTTGCTGCTATAAAAATATAATCTGCATAAAATATGATTACCATCCCACAGTGCTTTTTCATTAGATGTTTTCACTCTTTTACTTTAATTTTAATCTATGTGAAAAGAGTAGCCCAGCCATCTTGTATAAGCAAAGATGTCTAACATCTAGCCGCATATGCAGGATATTTTTCAAAGGGGTAAAAAATTTATATACTTGATAGAATGATAGAACAAGGAAGAGCATCACTATGTTGGATTTGTTCTCGCCCCAATTATGAAATAGCTTCCCAAAAACTTTCCAAGTGTTCTTAAGAAAAGGGGGAAAACACAGATAACACAAAGAAGCAAAATTTTAGGCCCGTCAATTTATCTTCAATCACTTTTTATTCAAGAATTTAGATTTACAACATACTTTCCTAATTTTCTTTATAATATGATTTTTGCACTTCTCTACCACCTCTCTTCCAAAACCTAGAACTTCTGAGTTTTTGGATTCATTATTGACATAAAAAAAGTACTTCGAGAATTAAAAAAATGTCTCAGTCTATGACGTATAAATTAACATTGAACACGTGTTTTCAGCTACATAAATATCAATTTGGATTCCAAATAGATATCTTTGACAACTAGGTAGAAATATATCTCTATGGGAATGGAAAAATAAAATAAATGCAAATGCTACTACAAATTATCAAATTTTATATATATGAAGTGAATGGAAGTGAAATGAGATCATCTTCTTATAAGAAAACATCAAAGAATATAATAAAAATAACAAATAGGCTCCCAAAGGTTCTCATGCATTCTCTGGATTTTTCTCTCCTTGTACATTGAACAATATAACAATTAATTTCTTCTGATGAATCATGTCAAAACAGTAATTCAGCCCTGTTATTTTATGATTGTATCGGTGTGCATCATATAAATGTTCTTCACATGTTATTACTTATCTCTATTCACACTGATGTGGAATGCATCAATGCACTCACTGAACCGAATGTCTCATATTTCATTTCTAATACTCCATTTTGTCAAAAGAAACTGATTTAAGAACTCAAACATGCTCACAGAACATGTGGAATGCCAGTTAAAACAGCAAGAATCAGCAACAACTTCAAACACACATCAAAAACCAAATCTCACATGATATTATATGCACCTAAATAATTGTCGATACAATTTAAGCAAAATATGTAGAAAGTCAAGAGGTGTAATCATGAGACAAAAGAAATTACAATAACCAAAAACACGTATCATCAGAAAATGATATAACATTTGCACAAGTTAACAGACCTTGAACAACCACTTCCTTTTTCCATTGCTCAAATGCATCATGGAAGGAGCTACTTTCCTCCTCCTCTTTAAATTGAACAGTGACTCCCTTTGAATAAGTTTTCTGATTCAAACGTGAGAATATTAACAGGCATGGTCACCTAACACATGCATATTACAAATCATAATACCAATAGAAGTTTAAATAATCACATTCTTTCTTATATCATTTGGAATAGATATAGGTACTTTATAAATATGAAAATTGAATTGGAAGTGTTCATTCAAGCATAACTCTGTAAGTAATAAAAAAACATGCTAAAAAATATCCATTTTGGGATATGAACCAGCATATACAGAAAATAAATAAATATATATATATATATAGGTCATAGTAAGTAATTAAAAATTAGTTACATTGGCATACCTCTTTGATGGTTTCAGAACCTTCTGATACACAGAGTGATTGAACCTCACCTAACCTGAAGAGCTGAAACCCCCCAAAAGAAGAAGTGAGAACATGAATACAAACCAAACAAAAAAATTAGTTGTTCACATTACAAATTAAAAGGCTTGATACATCATAATTTACAAGCTTATAGTGAATTAAAAGAGCATCTTCGTAAGTACGGGTCTCCTACTTTGGTATTGTTTCCATAGCTGTTACTAGTTTTACTTTCTAGCAAATAAAGAAGCATGTTCGAAGATGTCTTCTGGTTTTTTTCTTTTGATTTTCTTTCCATGAAAATTAAAATGTCAACACTCTTGCTTATTTTTCAGTAAGTGAATCTGCTTGTACCTTAGAGATAAAAAGGAATTCCATTTATACAAGTTGCACCAGCCAATAGTTTTTGTTTGAAAATAAGTTCAGAAAAGAATGACATAAGGATATAATGTTTGGTGCTTGAAGCAACATAACTTTGCATTCATGAAGCACCATTGTATGCTAGTGTAAGCTGCCCAAGATGTCTCTATTATCCTAATTGAAGCACAAACATTGCTTCTAGCAGTTTAAGACAAGTCTGTTTCTCACTTCTTTCAAAGTACTCCCTCGTTCAACTAGAGTGCAGTTTGTAAAATTCAAACACTCCCATGTAAGAGTTTTTATAGTATTAAATGGCTTAATGTGCTCAGGAATAAGAAATGAACTAGATACAAACCCAAAAAAGAAAGAAAAAAAAACTTTCGCTTCTGGCATTACAAACATTAATAAGCATGATACTTCACAATTTCAAGCTTATAATAAATTAACAGAGCTTCTGCTTAAGAAAAGATCTCCTACTTCGATGTTGTTATCATAGTTGTCATCAGTTTTACCATCTAGCAAATATAGAAGCAGATTGAATATGTCTACTGATCTTTTTGTTGTTTTGTTTTGCTTCAACGGAAGTTGAAATGTGGTAGCTTTCTGCTTATTTTTCACCAAGTCAAACTGCTTTGAACCTAAAGATACAAATGAACTAAATTTATACAAGCCGCGTTCATTTTACTTGGAAACAAGTTATAGAAGGAAAAGAACCGAAGGACAAGAAATTTGGGTGTCAGAAGGAAAGAATTTCCATCTACTTAAGCATCCACTCTGACCTTTGTTCAGCCTTACCTTTTCACTCACTTTTTCACAAGCTGGGGTCTTCACGAGTACGGCCACTCTACCCTTTGAGGTAGTGGGCAGGTCTGCGTACATCTTACCTCTCCCAAATACGTCCATCTACTTAAGCATTATGCATGCTATTGTAATATACCCCAGAAAAAACATGAAGTTTCTCTTTCAAAATACTCTCTCCGTTCCAAAACTAGAGTCCACTTTGTAATATTGAAAACTGGAATGCTCCCAAGTAAAAGTTCTCATAGCGTTAAAAGTCCCAAAGTGCTCGATTTTACCACTCCCTACGATACTCAAGGCCAATTTGTTTAGTCCATTTCTCATCTCTTATCCAGGGTCCAAGTGTGTACAAATTATTCATATCATATAAGTGGGACCCACAACATGGAAATGAGAAATGAAATCATATGAAGGAAAGAAAAAAAGTGGTCAAATTACAACTCAAATAGCACATACTTTGGGAGGTGGACTCTGACAGAGAGAGCACTTGGAAAGAGATATTAACAAAGCAATCCCTCTTAAAAGATCAAAACTTTTACCAACACGATTATCAACAATGCCAGAATAGCAATGTTGTAAGGTTAAAACACATTCCAACTAATCAGGAAAACATAAATCAATCAAGATGAAAACAATGACGTAAATCAAACCGTAACATGCCCCTTTCAAAAATAACTCAATCAAAAGAACACATATGATCAGTGCCTCGAAATAAATCAAAAACCAGCCAAAATGAAAACAGAAAGGTCAGTTTCCAAAAAAAAAAAATTGAAAATTTCTTAAATCAACAAACTAGTAACGAATCAAAGAAAGAGGGTTACCTGAGCCGTTCGAAGGTCGAAGTTAAGAGAGTGTTGTCCCTCGGGGTCTAGGAAGAACTGTAGCTCCGGGAAGCCGGAAGCAGACCCAAAAGTAGCGGAGAGAGGACCGGAAACAGGCTTTGGAGGGTTTGATGAAAGCAAAGAAATAGAGGCAACAGTGAAATTTTGATGGTGTCTCATATTTTCAGCTGGTAGAGTATCCATTGTTGTATTGGAGCTGACTCTGTTTCAGTGGGTAGATTGCGTGTGCATATGTGTTGGTATCAATTCGCCTGTGACTATATATGTATATGGTGTGTGTGTGTGTGTGTGTGTGTGTAATGTATGGGGGGTGGTGGTTTGTGAAAGAGAAGCTAGGGTTTATGGGTTAGAGAGAGAAAGCGCGAAGGTTGAAAGAGAGTGAAGATTTGAGGGCCGCAATGACTTGCTTTTCTTCACACTCCTTTCCTTTGTTCTTGCTGCCTCACTCTCCATCCTCCCATTCACTAAATTAAACCCAAAATCACAATTTTTCTTTTTCAAACAAAACCCGAAATAACAATTAATACTATGTTGCATATGATGTCGTTTTGATGGACTAAAAATTTATCCGATAAGTAAATAATAGTGTTAAATTTTATCCAAAAACACTTACCGAGTAAATGTTTAGTACTAAAATATATAATTAAATTTTTTTTTTTGAAGTGTAGATTTTAATATAAATTTTATTTACTATAATATTCTCTAATTTATCATCTTAATATATTTTTTATAAAAAAATAATAACTCAATCTTATTGATGGAATTGAATAAAATAAAACAAATTTTCTCATTTTAAATGGTTTAGTCCCTAAATTATTTTTTTGAATGAAAAACTGTTAAACTTTCTCATTTTGAATTACTAGGAGAGTACTCATGCAATGTATCGAGATACATCTTAATTTTAGTGTTTCGTTTTATTCTTTTTTTATGTCGATATAATGCCGTTTTATGTGGTTTTGAGAAAACGATAATATTTTTATTTTTGAATAAAATATAAATTTAAAAAGATCGTAAATTTTTTTCAAAAAATATCGATATCAATATCAAATTAATCTTTTAAAAGTTCTTGTGTTTTGATGTAATTTTCTTAATTAATTTTTTTAATTATAATTTAATTTAGGTTTAATAATATAATTTTTCTAAAAGATAATAACTAATTAATCTGTTAGAACTCAATTATTATCCTAATTATATTTTAGATTTTTTATATTTAAAATAAGATGTTTATTCAATATTCGATTATGTTTATCTGCAGTTAGTTACACGAATTCAAATATGAAGTTTTAATAAGTTGTACTTATGCATAATTTAATTATAATATTAAATTTTAAGTAATATGCATCAATAAACAGTACTTCGTGCATAAAAAATGATTTTTTAAAGTTTTTGTCAAATATTTTATAATATAGTATAGATTAAGTCACTGAACTATTTTTTGAATAAGAAAATCATTAAATTTTCACATTTTAAATGATTATGATCTTGATTTTTTTTAAATGTAGGTAACCAATTTTTAAAAGTGTCATGGTTTGTTTATTTAAAAAAATGTTTAATACTTAATCTATACTATATTATAAAGCATTTGACAAAAACTCTTAAAAACCATTTTTTTATGCGTAAAGTACTGTTTATTAATGGATATTACTTAAAACTCAATATTACAAGTAAATCTATATCTATACTATATTATAAAGCATTTGACAAAAACTCTTAAAAACCACTTTTTATGCGTAAAGTACTGTTTATTAATGTATATTACTTAAAACTCAAGATTACAAGTAAATCTATATTATATTATAAAGCATTTGACAAAAACTCTTAAAAACCATTTTTTATGCGTAAAGTACTGTTTATTAATGCATATTACTTAAAATTCAAGATTACAAGTAAATTGTGCATAAGTACAACTTATTAAAGCTCCATATCTGAATTCGTGTAACTAACTGCAGATAAACATAATCAAATACAGAATAAACATCTCATTTTAAATATAAAAAATCTAAAATATAATTAAGATAATCATTAAGTTTTAACAAAATACTTAATTATTATCTTTATAAGAAAAAAATTATGCATAAAGTATAATTTATTAAAACTCTGTGTTTGAATTCATGTAACTAACGGCAAATAAACATAATTAAATAAATGATAAATATCTTATTTTAAAATCTAAAAAATCTAAAATATGATTAGGATAATTATCAAGTTCTAACAAAATAATTAATTATTATATTTATAAAAAAATTATATTATTAAATTAAATATAAATTACTTCGTTATTGAACTTTGCCCTCTCCCAATGTTGATCGGGCTCGGCTTGCTTGGAACCTTCCTTAGCCGTCTGTTTCTTTTGTGATGTCTGTCTGTTTGTGTGAGCTCCTCCGCTCTCCTAGTTTTCTTGGTGCGGTATAGGGTGTGCCTTTTGTAGGCCCCTTCTCCTGCCCCTGTGGTGTCCCCCGTTGTTTCCCGGTCTTGGCTTGACTGGGCTCTTTCCTTATGGTCGGCTTCTTTCTCTGTCTCTCTTCCTCTCTTTCTCTCTTCTTCTCTTTCCCTCTTTTCTTCCCTCTTCCCCTCTTCTCCCCTTCTTTTTTCTCTCATTTTCCCTCTCTTCTCGTCTTTCTTCTTCTTTGCCTCCCTCTTTCTTTCCCTTCTGGGTGCCTTGGATTCTGGTAGTCGAGGTTTCCTCCTACCCGAGCGCTTCATTGTTGCTGTTTTAGCGTTTTAGTGTTTTATCTTGATCTGGAAGGGTCTCCCCTTCCCTATCAAAAATTAAGTTATAATAAAAAATTGAATTAAAAAATTACACAATGAAAAATTTTAAATAGTTAATTTGATACCAATATCAATATATTTTTGTCAAATTTTATGATATATTCAAATTTATATTTTATTGAAAAATAAAAATATCATCGTTTTTTCAAAATCACATACAACCATATTATGACATCGACTGAGATAAAAAATAAAATTAAATATTAAAATCAAGATGTATCCCGCTGCGTTGTGCAAGTACCCTTCTAGTCAATCAAAATGAGAAGGTTTATAGTTTCTTCATTCAAAACTAGAAGGTCTAATGGTTTTTTTTATTCAAAACTAGAAGGTCTAATGGTTTTTTTATTCAAAAAAATAGTTCAGAGACTTAATAATTCAAAATGAGAAAGTTCAATGATTTTTTTTTCATTCACAAAACAGTCTAGGGACTAAACCATTCAAAATGGAAAAGTTTGTTGGGTTTTTTTGAACTTTTCCCATAAACTAATCAATTTTTCCTCCCAACATCAAGTTATAGAGAATTCTCTATATTTAGAGTTTTCTCCATTATTCTCTATTTTATAGAACAAGATAGCAAAATTGTTGAGGCATTTTAGAGAACAAAAACTGACGTTTTTTTATCTTAGAGAAGCTATTGGAGATGCTCTTACTTAGTCAAACATATATTATACCGTTGTTAATCAGATGCAGACAACTTTTAACGTAACTTAAATTAAGGGCCAAGTCATCCAGACACCTCCAAATCCTCCTTATATTATCGCATTTGATAAGAGTTCTTATATTTTTGCAAATTGAAGGTGTTATTGTTTGAACAACCTCCTTTTGGTTGCTTTTTCGATTCAACTAATTTTTTTTAAAAATTCGAAAATAGAGAAACTGGGTGAGAGGTGTCAAAAAAATTAAATTTTGGAAAACTATCTAAAAATTATTATTTAAGAGAAAAAATGATTTTTTTCATTATTTTCACCAATAAAAATCTTTAAAACATGCAATTTGGTAGGGGTATAAACGATACGAGACAACTCGTGAGCTACTCGAGATCGACCCGGTCAACGCTCGACTCGAATAGGCTTGGCTCGAACTCAAGCGCGGCTCAACATATTAACGAGTCGAGTCAAGCTACCCAATACTCGACTTGAAAAGCTTGTGAGATACTCGATTATTTTATATATATAATTAGTTTTAAAAATAATCAGTTTTTATGATAAAATTTGTAAAATATAAATAATAAAAATGTCTTATATTTTAGATATTTAAATAAAATTATGCATTTTTTAATTATAAATATTAATTTTTTATTAAAATCACTATTGAAAAAAGACAAAGAAATACTATAAAAAGGGTTAGTGAAATTGTCTCACGTTGGAAGAGAGATGATAAAGAAAGGGAGAAAAGATTTATAAAAAGAGATGAAGGTGAATGGAATTTTCTAACTTTGTTTTTTTATTGATGAAATTTGAAGTTGATCTCTTTAGTTTTATAAAAACTAAAAGAACATCTTTAAGTTTTAAAATTTATAAGAGAATGACCTTAAAATTTTCATAAATTTCAATGAGTGAGCTTAGTTCGAGCTTGATTTGAGTTCGAGTTCAAGTTTGATTTGAGTTGTAGTTCGAGATTGATTTGAGCTTAGTTCAAGCTTGATTCGAGTTCGAGTTCGAGCTTGAGAAATAGTTATCAAGTTCGAATCGAGCTTTGATTTTTACTACTCACGAGTTTTAGAGTCAAGTTCGAGCTTGGAAATTGAGTTTCAAGTTCGAGTCGAGTATAGTGATACTCGAATTCGATTCGCATCATTTACACCCCTACAATTTGGGATCCTCATTTTTGGTCAATCGGTTGTAAAAGCTACCCGCMGTTGCATATGCCGAAAAAGAAGGAGCAGGGAAGGAAGAACAACCGTTTGACTTTGGCACATGAGGTGGCGGGTTTGGCTAGGTAACATAATGGAAATGTATCGGACTGCAAATCCTATTTTATTTTACTTGCTCTTTTTTCTCTTATTAAATATTTAGTTAGATTAACAGATCACTTAAATGTTTTAAAAAGGAAATAATATTTAATTAATCTATTAAATAATTTAATAATATAATTTAGAGTAACTATAATTTTCGTCTCTATGGTTTGTTGTTTATTGCTATTTTCGTCATTGATCTTTACAATTTGCTTTTTTGGTCACCGTGGTTTCCAATTCATTTCCCTTTTCGTCCCTCTAACTAATCTATATTATATTATAAAGCATTTGACAAAAACTTTAAAAACCATTTTTTATGCATGAAGTAAATTATGCGTAAGTACAACTTATTAAAACTTTATTTTGAATTTGTGTAACTAATTGCAGATAAACATAATCAAATAGAGGATTAATATTTCATTTTAAATATAAAAAATCTAAAATATAATTAGGATAATCATTTAATTCCAACAAAATATTTAATTATTATCTTTATAAAAAAAATTTGTTAAATAAAAAAAGTTAAAGAAATATAAAAAAAAAGAAATTTTAAAAAGTTAGTTTGATGCTAATATCAATAACTTTTTTTCAAATCTTTATGATATATCTTCATATTTATATTTTATTCAAAAATAAAAATATTATCGTTTTCTCAAAACCACATAAAACTGT